TTTTGACTCCCAATAATTTTCATTTACCAGATTACTTCACTCTTTAAAATTATCTTCTCAGCAAGAGAAAATATGTAAATTTCGTATTTATGGTTCAAGATGTCCTGAAAAAATTCTATATCCATTTAATTATTTCCTTGGCTTTCACTGAAGTTTTCAGGCAGTTTTTCATTAATCTAGATTGTACTTTAAGTCCCTAGAAAGAGAATAGACAGAGAAACAAGAGACAGAGGTTGACTTAGGAGAAAGAAGACAAAAAGGAAACCAGAGAAGATAGAGCTGGTAATGTGTAACCTTAGATTTTTGACTCCAATATCACACCATTAAATTTGATGGAAATTAATTCCTAAAGGGAAGCTAATTCAGAAATACTGCAGAGCACATATTTATCCTTCTTTGTTGTCTAGAGCAGGTCTGTTACCAAAAACCCAACCAAATAAACAAACAAAAATAAACACAAATCCCCTTACCTCTTTTTACCTGATTTACTCAACTCTTTCAAAACCCAGAAATAGGAATTCAAACCTCAATAATGTATTTACATAGTAGCATGGCTTATTATAAAATCTCTTTTTGCATTTAGAAGGTCACGATAGTAGCCCCGCCCTCCCTATTTTTAGCATGGGGGAGGGAGCAGAAGGAAGCAACACTACAAAAATAGAAGTGCAGTTTGGGGGCAGCAATGTGATTAGACTCTGCTGAGTCCCACTTTTACTTCTCAACTTACTGGCTTGAGTTTTATTAAGAGAAGCTTTCCAGGCCCTTTGAGTGGGTTGGGACAATCTATGAATCTGTTATCGTTGGCTTGGAGTGATCGCTCTGGGATGCATAAGCCTCAGAGGGTCAAAGCAGAGAGGATTCAAGGGAAGAAAAAGATGGCCATCAGAAACCAAAGATAGTTTTTTCTGTTCCTAGTCTTGTGTCCCTGCAAGGGGTCCATCTATATTCTCTGACTGGGTGAGCTGCAGCACATGACAGCTGACAAATCACCCCAGCAGTCTTTGTGTAGCTGAGTCTGCCGCTGCAGCCAGCAGAGAAGCCATCGGCTGCTGCTCTGTTGGGTTAGACCTGGCTACAATGTCCTGGGTGGTTCAGAGCGGAAAAAAACCAAAATCAGAAAGACAAAGCTGCTGATACAGGCAGTGCTTATTAATGTGGCATCTCCTGTGATCACCTCATGGAAAGGTTAGGTCATAACTCCTGAGTTAACTTTGTTTGGCTTTTGTTAAAATAAGAGTGTCAGTGTGGATACAATTACTCTAACCTGGACCTGATTCCTTATGGGGCTCTTCTCTGGATTTAAACCATCATGCCCTCACTGGCCACTTGTAAGAGGCCCACTTCTTCCTTCTTTCTTGTATCATCAAGTCCTCTCCTGAACCTCCTGGATGGTGCTCAATGCCCCAGAATCTGGGAGGGAAGGATGGACAGGATGAGTGAGAAGCAAGTGAGGAAGAGTCTACCCCAAGGCATGGAAACACCTCTCCTCACTGTGATTCTTTGCACACACTGGCACCAGCCATTAAGGGTCTCAAAACATAATAGATGTGAAACTGATAAAAATAGCAGTGAAAGTTCCTTAACCTTCAAGACTCACAACATCCCTGCAAGATAGGTGACTATGTGCTCCCCTCCCGCTATACATATGCCTTTTTTTAAAGACAACCTTATAATATTTATATATCATAGCTGAGCTGAGAAATTAAAGCATCTCTCAACTTGTCTCTAGCTCAACCCACTAAAGAAATACTCCGTCCAAAAACGAGCATCCAGAGCAGGCTTCAGAAATAGGATATAATGAAGAATTGAGAACTTTCTTAAAAAAACGAAAATTATTAAATTTTGTTCCCTTATGCCAGGAGAGACCTACCCTGCAGTGGGCTTTCATTGAGTATGTGGACATTTTATACACACTCCTCCACACACCCCAACAGTCCTGCATCTTACACTGTTTCAGATCATCTTGTATCACCGGGTGAGTTCCCAACTGTATTTCATGAGACTGAAGCATTCCCTATCAGCAGAGGCAGGCAGGTCAGCAAATAAGCTTGGACTGGGTAGATTTAACTGTCTCAGGAGTTGGGTCAATGCTGACATGCGGCAAAACACGGGCTGAGATGGGAGGATAGAGGGCAGAGGACACTCAGGCTCATCACAGACTGTATGGGAGGAGGATGTGTGTAGGGAAGGGAGATGCTGGCTGAGTGGAGGAATATGAGGTCTTCTCCTTGTGACCCCAGAGTCAAGGGAGGGCAAAATCCAGAACATCTGGAGTTCAGCTTCAGAGAAATATTCTCAGTGGTCTCAGCACCTCACAGCGACACTGAGTGGGGCGCAAGAGTGAAGCCCAGAATAGAAACAGATTCTTCAGCTAGACAAGTGGATAGCCTCACATTGGGCAATTGTATTCACGGCTCATGTTGAACCTGGGGGACACCCAAGGCATCTCCCTTTACAGTGCAGGTAATTCTATCCTGCCCCCCTCTTGCAGGTCACCTTGGCCTAGAGCCACATCTGAAGGCCTGGTGTCATCTGCCCTCTTGGTGACTGACTGAGAGAGGGACACATAAACACACAGAGAAAGAGACATGAACTCCCCACCAGAAGTCTGTCTGGAGCCTTTAGTTGAGGAGGTATCTAAACACGAATCTAGTTAGAACATCCCCCTGCCTTGGTTTCTTTTCTTTTCCTCCTCCTCTCTGTTTTTCCCCCCTCCATCTCCTCCCTTCTTGTTTTGAGGAGATGCTGAAGACTACCGTTAGCAAGGGAAACTGGACATACAGCTCAAGATTCCTCTCAGGGCACTCACAGCGCTAAGGTGATCATACTGTGCATCTCGAACACTGGGAGTCATCCTATTTTGCTTGGAATTCCTCAAGATGCTGCCAAACCTTTAATCCAAAGAAAGAGAAGCCTGGCTTTTGAGATCTAAAGGGGCATCTTTCTTTTCAAGGAAAAAGAGGCAGAATCTGATGCCTAGGAAGGGACGTCCTGGTCGGCTATTAGAGGCAGGGTTGGAGTTTATATTTATTCAGAGGCAGAAGGAAACCATTAGAAGATTATGGTAATGAGTGAGTTCCGTGACTTAACAGAAAGTTGTCATTTATTTTCTGGTCTTAATAGAAGAGTAAATGCAGGCTAAGGGATAAGAAACCCAATTTCTTGGTCAAGGGAAGTTGAATAAAAGCAATGAGTTCATAAGTTCACTGGTTCTAGAAAAGCACAGGTGGTCGGTCAGGGGACCGCATCTGCAGTGCTTTGCGCCACTTTATTCAGGATTCAGTGCTCATGTGTATGTGAGTTTAAGGAGTTCAGGTGTCCAGGAAGGTTTCCTGGCACAGTAAATTTAGTGTTCATAATGTTGTCTGCAGGCAAATTCCATTTCTGGTAATTGCTTTGCCAGCCTATATTTCTCCTACTGCTGAAATGGCACAAGGTATCACTTCCAATTCCCTTTCTCAAAACGCAATGCAATAGACTCGCTGGATCGGAATGGTTGTCCTGTGTAGGCCTGTCCCTGGGGAAAGCTGCATTTCCAAGGTGGAAGAAAGCAATTTTGTGCGCACAAAGCAGCCCATAGCAGCATTTTGGCATGAAATGACGCTGAGCAGAGGAAACCTTAGAAACAATACCAGGCCCAGCGCCAGTCTTATGTAACAATCACGCCTGTTAGGATCAGGGTGTTTATATAGTCACGTTCACATCCCAGCTACTCCCGAGCACACAGGTGCTGAGTGGGAGGGTAAAAGGGAGATGGAAGAGGGTCTGGGAGTGGGAGGCTTCTGTCTCTGACTCATTGGTCTCCTGCCCTGGGACTACTTTGGTTGGGGGGCTGACCGTGGGTCACGAAGCTCCATCAATATCTAGAAGAAAAGGCAGGGCCATGACAAACGATGCTGCAGCCACATGGTTGTATTTGGCTTTTCAGGGCCGATACAGCTATGCCTTATTTGTATGTCAACGAAAAAAAAAAAAAAACTTCATAAGAAAAAACAGACTCCTTCTAACAGCCACCAACTGCTCCCACCCAAGAGGTGCAGTCTGTCTGGGCTGGAGGAGGATAAAAAGAGTGTTTATCCACTGTGATCTCAGTCCAGGGGTCTCCGAGTCTCCCCACGGAGGGTCCTGTGAGGCAGGCTCCATCTGTTCCTGGCTAAGAAAGGAGGTCCCTGCCTGGCACCCCTCTCCTGGGGATCCTTCCAGTTACTGTGATGGTGCTGGGTGACTGGGGAGGGACTTAAGGGATGGTGCATTTCCACCACATAAAGAGTGATGTGCTCCACCGAATGGACAATCCATACTAAAGGAGCACGCATTAGCCCAGACAGGGCTCTCTCTTTGTCAATGCTTCTGAGTTTTGGGGTTTAGGAATGACATCGTGGCCTGAGGCTGTCTTCTGCCCAGCTCTTACTCTGGGGAGAGGGGGGGAGCACTGATTCTGGCCGAGGGAAATATTCAGGGCCACCGGGGCCCCAGTCTTATCACATTGTGTGATGAGGCCCCATCAGAGCCTACTTTGCTAGAGGGAGCAGCTCAGGTCTAAGCTGAGGTATATTTACTAAAGTATCCTGACAAACTGACCCTCAACCGCAAACAGCTGCAGAAGCTGCTAGACCAAGGGTCCCTCCTCACAGGAGGTCCTCAGTAAACTCAGACTGACTCTCTCCTTGAGGCTTCTCTTGTTTCAAGCTGTCGGCCTTTCCCGTCTCTGTTGAAGTCCCTACTAGGGGATGTGTGGCCCTCCTTGGGTATGTGTGTGCTGCCCCCTCAAGGAGCGGCAGGGAAGGCTGGGCCTCTGGCACTTGGCCTTCCTGGGCTTGGCACAGCACTGGCCTTGCTGCTTGGCAGAGAGGCCCACTGCCTCTTGGACCAGAGTCTGGGCTGACATTCAGCCAGTATGTGCAGGTACGACCATAGCACTCTTTCACACACTTCTATAAGGGTTGGAAAACAGACTCTGCCTTGAGTCCCTTGAGCGCCCCTGCCATCCTTACCCCATCCTCAGTGTTCCCCCATGGCCAGCATCTGCAAGGCTACGGCCCGGCATAGCATGGGGCTAAAGCACGAAGGCCAGACTCCACTCTCACCAGCTGGTGCCCTGGCCATACAGGTTGTTGAATGCTTTTAAAATATCACCCTTACCAGAGGCCCAGGCACCGGTGGACCCTGGGGGACCTCCTTGGCCTATCCTAACTAACACTCTCAGCACCTACTGAGTGGGTGACAGTCTTCAAAGAGACAGGTCTGTACCCACCAGCACCACTAGCGCTCTGTCTCTTTGCCCCTCTCCTCTACAGTGTGGGCTGCTTGGCTATGGCTTTGCTCATCCAGAACAGCCCTTACTGCTGCTGCCACAGCACCCTGACCCCTTCCGCTTCAGCTCTTTCCTCCCTCCCGCCCTGCCTCCTACCCCTGGCATCCAATGCTCCTGAACTTAGCCTGTGCTTCTTTGGGGGAAGCAAGCCACAAGATAATGCATGAGATGCTGCTGCAGTTGCCCTAGTGGCAGTGGTGCTGGCTGAAGAGCAAGAGCTGGTGAGGGAGGAGATTCCTCTCCTATGGTCTCCACGACTCCCCACTTAAGAGCCAGAAAGTCTTCCAGGCTTCTCAGGGCAACGGGTGTAGACACAGGCCAGCTCAATCCTTCCACAGCTTTTAGAAAAGTGGGAAGGGGCAAGGGGAAGCAAAGCCATCCTCGTGTCCCTTCTCCCATGGGAATAACCCTCCATGTATTTTCTTTCCCCAGCAAAGAGGCAGAACTATGGCAGTGCCCATCTTGCAAAGGGAAATAAAGCAATTTGGTGGGTTTGACTGGTTTTCCTTTTGTCCTTTCCTCCTCCTTCTCTGATAATGCATGGTGTCCTTCCATCTTCCACCTCCCTCTTCCTCCCCCCCGGCCGCACTGGCTTCCCAATTCGGTCTTGGTTTTCTCCGTGTGAGAGAAGAGCATGCATCGGAGGGGTGATCAGCCTCTAGCATTTGTCATCTTCTTCCGTGTCACTCAGGAGGTCGCTGACAGCTCCACACATCATGCCTGGCCCAGGCCCCCCACGCCTCCGCCGCCGATAGTGCCCGTTGGGCATCTGCCAGCTGTGTCGCAGGGGTGGGGCTGAGCCAATGGTGTTGGAACGGCCCAGGCTGGTAGCCACAGCTGCTTCGAAGGTGAGCGTCTCCTCCTCGCCACAGTCTGAGGCATGGGAGTCTTCGTGCTGGGCCAGGTAGGGCTCGGAGATGTAGCGCTGTGGGGAGGAGTGTTGGCCCTGCTGTGGGTGCCGGGAGTTGGAAGACTCGGTCAGAACAGTGTCGTTGATCTCCAGAGCTTGGGAGGTCAGCGGGGAGCCGCCCTCACTTCCGTCAGCGGGTGGAGAGATGCTCCCGGCGTGTTGCATCAGGGAGCTGTAGGAAAGGAGGGGCCGAGGCTTCGGAGGGACTGGTGGGAGCTGCCGACGACTTCGTCTTGGGGTGCTGGTGTCAGAGATGGAGGGGATGGAGCTTTCACTCAGGGAACCCGTGCCCTGTATGGCAGGAGAGACATGGCACGTTAGACAGGGTTGGCATGATCCCTATTTGGGAACCTGTTAAGGTCCCTAACCCTTCTTACAGAGAGCTCTTGGAGTCTGAACTCTGGGGGAGGGAGGCCTGAGTTGGAGTCCCCTTTGCTACAAGTCATATCCACTCAGGGGCACAGGGATTAGAGAAAATCGAGCCGTCAATACCATCTAGACCAAGGCACGACAACTTTTAATACACATGCATTCTCTGGGGATCCTGTAAAACTGCAGATGCAGGCTCAGCAGGTCTGAGGTAAGGTCTGAGATTCTGCATTTCTAACAAGCTCCCAGGTGTTGCTGGTCCATGGAACAAATACTGAGTAGCAAGGATCCGGAAGCTCTATACATGTAACAAGTGGCACAGTGAAGAAAGACTTGAAACTTTTGAGAAAGACAACTACATGAAAGGTGAATGATGCTCTGGAGTTGCTCTGTCTGGGAAACCTTTCTTGTGAAGTGGGTCTAAGGGAATGGCAAATACTTTCCCTCATCTTCACTTCTGGCCTCTGTGTCTTTGGTGGCTTGCTGAGATTAACTCAGCTTCTACACGCCACACACTCATCTACTGGTTCAGGCCTTAATTGACCTGCTCACCTATTCCCAAGGGTCCCTGAGCCCAAGTGATGGTAAACGGACCTCCAGGATGGTGTTTTTCAAGGTATGTGTGACCTATGAGCCACCTGCTCATACATAATCTCCTGGGGAAGGTCCTTCCAAATGCAGATTTCTGGGTTTCACTTTCCAGCGGGTCTCACTACTGAAAGAGAATCCTTAGGTCCCAGGAATGTGCAGTTATAACAAGCTACAGGTAATTCTATTGTGCACTAAAACTTGAAAATCACTGCTTTAGAAGTCAACTTCTCATCTGCCTCTGTCTCTAAAGTCTGCCGTAGCAGTCTCCCTTTCTCCCTGCCCCGTTCATTGTTGAGTGGGTCTCTCATCTGGGCTCTGACAGCCTTGAGAGAGGTAGGGCTGGGAGTGAGGAGTGGTAGTGAGGAGGAAAACAAGGCCAGAGAATGTCTTCACATAGCTCTGGTAGTTATTTCTCAGGCCCAGGCTGGTGTTTCAGCAACAGGCCAGAAGGAGAGACAGTCTTCCTCTTGGGATGGCTGTAAGCTAGGTAAATGACGTTGAATTGATCCGACTTATGAATCATCATTCCAACTGATACTAAGGATCAGGTGACTGACTGATTTAAGATACTTTTCTGGCTAAAGGACCATCCTTTCCTCCAAAATCTGGCTGAGACATTTGTAAACTTATTTATGACTTTGTATCTCAGGATTCTCAGGACTGGGGTGGAATGACCTCTAGACACCATTGTCTTTCTTGGGGGACTATCTAGTTCTATGTGAATTCATATTTCTGAGTAACAAGCATTAAGTAGTTAACCTCGATGCACAGTGGATGTAGTTTCCTGCAAAACTGAGGTTCCTGCAAAAATGTGTGTCCACATTTTGCACCTAATGTTAACAGACCACCTTTCCCTGTCTTTCTGCAGAGGCTCAACTTCCCGTCTATGCTCACCTGTCTGTTGGGGGTCTGTGACCTGCCCTCGCTGGGAGACCTGGACTGATGACGCTCTGGGGACTCCCAGTCGGCCTGGGTCCCTCGCTCCTCTGAGTTGCAGCGGGAGACATCGGGAGAGAGAAGATGCTTTCGCTCTTTCGATCGTCCCCGCTCTCTGCCCCCTGAGCGGTGGGTGTCAGACTTGTGGCCTGTGAGCGATGACAAAAGCACCGATCATAATTCTGCCCATATTGGTCACTAAACATAAAGAGAAGTCTTACAGCCTGGGACTGGACCCTAAAGGAATCCTGGCTTTTTCAAGCACATCAACAGATGATCTGAAAGGGAGGCAGGAGGTTGGAAAACTACCCTCTTATGAAGAGGGAAGTATGCAAGTTCCCACTGGAAAGACAAGTATGTCAAAGGATGCAATTGGTTCTCTTCTGCTTCTCTTTACACGAGACACAATTAAGATAGAATCTTTGCCAACAATACGGCCCAGGAATTTTCTACACCTTAAACATGAGTATGTAACGTTTTGGGCAGAAGGTGACACCAGTAGAAGGGAATTAAGCAGTTGCTATGAATTAAATAACAACACAGCTAATGTAATGCCAGGGTGAGAACCCAGGGACTGAAGTCAAAGGATTTCACTTCTAGTCCCATTTCTGCCACTTACTGGCTCTATTATATGGGGCATGTCACTGCTTTTTTATCTTTGTTTCCTCTTCTAGTAAAATAGAGTTTGAACCAGACTAATGATTTTCTGTTTCTATCAATATGCACTTTTTCCTTAAAAAACAAAACAAAAATACGTAAAACAATTTCAGGTAGCACTATTTGGCTGGAAGTGGAGTTGGTAGTTAAATCCCTGCCCCGTCAGGGGTCTGTAATACATTCCTAAGGAACCCCAGTGGTTTTGCAGAAGGCCACCTGAAAATCTCAATTTTAATGATCTCTGTAGTCCTCCTCTGGAAGAAAGGAACCTCACCAGCCTCTGTGATGAATACAGAAGGCTTTGTTGTTTTGTTTCAGGATGTGAGTCAGACAGGGAATCCCCTTTGGTAAGGACCATTCTTCCTTCCTTCAGCTCGCCTCAACCTGTGTGGTTATCTGAATTCTGTTCCAGAGATTTTCAGCCCTTGTCACAATCGACCTGTCAGGGCAGGAGCCCCCAAAGAGGCAAACAGCGAAGACCCCCTCACCTGAGTCAGAGTTCAGGCGATGGGCTGACAGCCTCAGGGAGGAGTGGTAACTCCGGCGACGTGACTTGTAGGTGTTTTCACTGCTTCGCTCCATGGAGAATTCCTCCAACCACGAGGAATTTGAACGCTTATCCCGAATCGTGGAAAATGAACGTCTCATGGAGCTAGAGTCTGTCAGCACCTGGAAATATGAGCCCCCAGAGGAACACAAGGTCTGGATTAATTAATTAAGGGTCTAAAGGTGAGGAAGAAGTGGGACAGAGATTGTTGAAGATTGCAAATTGTAACCTCCCTTGAATCCCTTTTGCTCAGACCTTAGCTGAAGGAGGTTGTTCCAGAAAGTGTCTTTATGACATGTTAACACAGTCACTAGGACTGGTCCAGGGTCTTCTCTTCATGCTCAAGAAAGCAAGCAGCTGAGTGTACTGTGCAAACTTCCCATAGAGCCATCTACCACAGGGACTCAGCCAGGACCTACCTTGCGCCACTTTGAAATATGTGAGGACAATTGTCAAAAAGTCTACACCATGAAAGAAGCATGGCTTTGCCTTTTGTTTTTTGCCCTCGCTAGAGAAGGCCCTGCCAGATAGCACCAGGGCTTAGGAGAGCTTGTAACTGAACAGCTACTAAGAAGGCACTGCTCTCTCTCCAGCATCAGTCCCACCCTAGCCCCACCTAAACTTTGGCATTTTGATTTGCCACAGATGTTAAAACAGCTCCACAAAAACTTCTTGTCTCTGTCAAAACTTGATGTAAGACAGACAGACAGAAAAAAGAAACCAGGAAAACAGACAAAGAAATGAGGCGTGGCCTGCACTGGTTAGGAGAGACAGTCCTGACACAGAGCTGTGTGTGTAAGTTACTGCATATGTGCTGGAGGAGCCAGGAAAGGAGAAAAGGAAGGAAAAATACACAGGGAAAATATCTCTTGTATGGCTGGTTGAGTCTTGACGATGTTGAGCCCATTCAGAGGGAGTTACACCACCTTGCTGGCTAGACTGTTGTGGTTAGGGCTTCACTGAAAACACACTGTGGAGGAGCAGGCTCCATAGAGAAGGCCCACGAGCCGGGTTTTGCTTATACAGAAGGGGTGGGGGCAAGTCAAGGGTTCACCTGAAAATATCAGATGTTTTTGCATAACCCACCAATTCAACACAGCCCAGGAGGCCACTGCATATGGTAGGCGGTGGTTGCTTTTTACCTGGGGATCCACAGTCAGGCGTGGCATAGAGGATGCCCTCCCAGATCCCGCATGCTCCTGGGTGTCCGAAGGAAGGTAGATGCCATGGTTAGAGGGCTGCACGCTTTTAAATTCACTAACCTCTGGCTCCTGGAAATAAACACACAGCCAAGCTTGTGGGACTTGGTTCCATCTCATTGCTTCTCATCTCCAGCAAATGATTCTGCCTCCTCCATACCAAGAATGGCTTTTAGAAGAGAGACTTGGATCTTTAAGGTCTCAGTTGCATGAGGACATAAGTGTGTCTGTGTGTGCACATAAGTGGTATACCAGATGTCCCAAACAGAAAGCTCTAACTGGGATTGCAAGGCAAAGATTACCTTTTCTAGTCAAGTATCATCTTATTTACCACTAAGCAATGCTTCAGATCTTATAGCTTTGTAAAACAAACGTTGTTGGTCGTAATACTTTTTAGATATGTGAAGTTTACTTTCTGGGAGTGTTGGGTTTATTCTTTTAATCTGAAGAAGTCATTTATCAAGTAAATAGAAACCAGTATTCCCAGGAAAGTCACCAATTTCTGTTGTCAACCATATCTCCTCAAACCTTAAGACACATAATTTTATTAGTTAAGAGTTTTCTTATGATTGAACCTATCCAAAAAATGTGGTGGGTGGCCATCTGTCAGGGATGCTCTAGACTAGGGCAGTCCACAGAAATATAATGCAAACCACTTATGTAATTTTAAGTTTCCTAGTAACTACATTTAAAAACATGAGAAGAAACGTGAAATTTAATAATATATTTTATTTAACCCAATATATCCAAATTTTCTCATGTCCACATGTAATACAGCACATCTCAATTTGGACTGGTCACATTTCAAGTGCTCCATTACCACATGTGCCACATTGGACTGTGCCACTCTAGAGCATGAGAAGGTCGGAATGAAAATCTCTAAGGTACTGTCTAATTCTTTTATGTTATTTTCCTGGTTAAAGAATGTCAGTTTGGCAAATGTACATGCTCTATACAGATAGCTAGTGTCACTGCATAAAGAGGGGAGCTGCCTTAGCCACCAAGGAGACCTAGGAATATCTTGAAAATCTGGAGATTATACCAGAAAAAAAATTATATTTAGTAAATGGCACCCTAAAAACCTGGGAATATGAGTAGGGCACTGCTAAAGGAAAGGGTGTCCAAGACCGCCCCCCCCACCCCCGCAGGCTCCATGACTATTTGGCTGAGTGGTTCCTGGTGTGAATGGGAGGCGTGCCTCCCCAGGACAAGTGATATGTGCACGTGAGGGAGTTATAGTGTTTGCAGTACATGCTCTCTATAGCACACAGGTCCGACTCGAAACAGACGTGGTAACAACACTGCAGTCTATGGGTGTCAGAGGTGGTGCAAGACACACACACTCCATATGCACACACACAAATCGCGGCCACGCCTCAGGATGTAGAGCAGGGGGCCCCAAGGGATGCACAGGAGTACACAGTGGTGTGTAGCATGAGCTGACACCTGAATTGAATTACAGACACCAGTACTGACAATGAGATGAACACATATCCAAAAGTCCTGGCACTACGGCTCAGCCCTGGGGAACCGGCAGAAATGATGATGTAATAAAGCCTCCCTGTGAAAGAAAGGATGCATTATTGAGATTTTCCCACCAGACAGATCGCCAGGCAGGCAAGCTGTAAAATGCTGAGAGGCCCTTTTAAGAATCAAACTATCTGTACCAATTATCCTCTAAGCCTTGGTGCTAAGTTATTCAAAGAGGAAGGCAAGGAATTATTCCCTGGATTCCTACCTGCCTTACCAAGAACACCCTTAGGCATCCACTGACACACTGGGGGTGATCTGGTCCAGCTGTCTCCCCAGCACAACCATGCACAATTCCCTGTCTCAGCAGTCACAGGAATCACCCATATGTTTGAGCTACTAAAGTGTTTTGCTCCCTCTGAAGGGTACCCATTCCATTAGATATGCACTGCACCTGCGTCATCCACTCAGGATAGCTCTAGGGTACATGGTACCAGTACACAGTACACAGTACACAGTAGCAGTAGCAGTGGGAGGGGTCAGGAGAGAAATGAAGGGGAGAGAAAAAACCAGATGAATTATAATCAAAGTGACACAGAACTCAGTACAAGCTATCTATATGGACTTTTGCAAATGTTGGGTTTTGTCTTTTTCTCTCCAGGCCAATGAACACTTGGGCTTCAATTTTAAGCTCAGGAGGGAACTTGACCTAAGGCTCCTGAACTAAGAATAACAGTAAAGTCTATTATCTTTGGGAATCACATTTTAGCTTTATATTAGCAATCCACTAATATAAAGTTCAATCCGCTCTCTCTTCTCCAAGCTTAAACTTTATTCAATAGGTTTCTGGGGAATTTTAGCATTTATGCTAATAAAGACTTTAGGATCAGGAGAGTGATTTTAGGGACCTCATAGAATGTATCTGACCTTGTAAGAATTGTGACCAAAAGGGCCAATTAGCCTGAACCCACAGAGAGCAGAGGTAAGAGACGACTCTTCTGTATCTCTTGGTGGACAGCTAGTCCCTGTTGCATATGCTACCCGAGTTCTCCAGGAGGCGGGCATTGCTAATGGGCTGGGTGCGGCATTCCTGTGTTCCCCTAAGGAATACCTGGCTGCACTAAGCCACCGGGTGGGTGCCACTCCTTCTGTGATCATGCATCCTAAGGCTCCCTATCAAAAGCAAGATTTTATTTGTGACTTTTGCTTCTACATTTGATGCTCAGGGGCATACATGAAGGGGGCTTGGCCTGAAGCAATGTAAGTTCCTGCACTGGGACTATAAAACCTAAAGAGGGAGTATTTGTCAGAGAACATGAGAAACTCAGCTATGAAAGGGGAGAGGGCAGGAATCTTCCAGGGCAATTGGTTGGACTATCAGAAAGGGTTTTCCTGATGGATCATAGCTATGAAATAAAATTTTGAAAATGAGAGTAGGAGGGATCAGGAAACCAAGGAAGTATTTTTGAGGTCATGCAACTCATTCATTCACCAGAGATTGCTGTTCCTGGAACTGTCCATCATCAGCTGGGTCCATACAAGCCAACTGGAATATTTCCTGGGGGGAGAGTGGACTCATCGAAGGGTATCCACTACGGCCACTCCTGAAAAGCAATGCCAAATTCAGAGGTAATGTGTACATGAGAGAGAGAGAGAGAGAAACAGTCATGCCATTGCTGCCACTACCAATTCCCACCCAGACAAGACTTCCTTCCCAGCAAGGGCAATACTCTTTCACCTTGGATGGCTTGTAAGCCTGGTAACTTACAGGTGGCTGGCCCTAGAATAGAAAATTACAAAAAAAAAAAAAAAGCGCATCAGAAAAGAGAAATCACTGTTTTCAACCTGCATTTGGAACCATTCATCATTCTGCTGGCGACTAGCATATCTGTGACAAATGACATCATTTGTCACACTCAGCCATATGGAAGACCAATGCTAGACTGTAAACCTGTTTCCGCTCAGCTTCTCCATTCAGCAGAAAAATGCCATAGTTTAAACAGTGAGCAGTCTGTTTAAATATTAGGCAGTCATGGTCTTTGAAAAAGTTTCCTCCACTCTCAGTAAGGATATGGTTTTATTGTGCCAACATCCCTGGCCAAACCAAACAATTCAATGCCATGAACATTTATTGAAGGGTTACTCTGTGCCAGATGTGTGTCTACCGTGTCTGTTGGTTTATGGACTAGGTGGAATGATTTCAGAGGTGGTGTTGAGGTGACAACCTCTGGGACGATGGCTATATAGGAGGATGCTTAAAGGGTGATGAGGTAAGAAGACAGGGACAAAGTTGGCCAAGTGTTTAGAAGCCTCTGGATGAAAGGAATGGGGGGCTGTCACAATATGCCTGTTACTAAACCACTGTTCGGTACCTGCAGACACTCTTAGCCAATGGGATCCACTGGGCTAGTGAGGAGAAAAAGAGGCAGCCAATCTTTCCTGAGAATTTGACTGTTGCTGCCCTTCACTACTGCTAGTACAGTAACAGTTACCTTTGACCTACTCAAGAATGCAGGTTGAGCTTCCTGATCATGGGAAGAGGGGCAGCAGCTCTCTCAGTGGTGGTGGAGCCAGGAGGAAGAGATGGGACACTATCTCTTCCAGTGATAGTCTACTGCTGATGACTCTGAATCCAACTGAAAATCTGAGGCATGAGCAAGGATTGGCAGTTACTTAATCCATAGCTACAATCTTACTTAGACTGGGATCACAGGGAAAGATTTGAATATCAGAGAATCACCTGACCTGTCCCCTTGCTGCCAGTGAGGGCTTTAGCTGAATTTTTACAACTGCTAGAAAGCAATCTGATACTTAAATAACCTGCTTAACTGTCAGTCATCTTCCTCAGTGTGCCTTCTCCTGAGAACCACTGGGAACAAGATGAGTACTACCGTATTAGAAATGGGTCCCCTTTTGTCCTACAGAAAATGAATAATTGCAAAATCCCCAATAGGTAGAAAGGACCCTTGGAATCACAGAGTTAAATAATTTGAACCGAGAGTAACCTCTTACTTTGGAAACCTTGTCTAGCTTCTCACTGTTGTTAGGATAAAGTCCAGAATCCCGAACATGGCCTCTCTTACGATCTGGTTCCTACCTTGCCAGGCTCCTCTAGCGTCACTTTCCCCCTTGCTCCCTGAATGCTAGACATACTGGACTCTTTTAGTTCATTGAATGTGCCAGGCTTCTTTCTGCCTTAAGACTTGAATACAGGTGTTCCCAAAGTGCAGAATGTTGCCGCCTTCTCCCCTACAAACACTTTCCATGCTATATTGAATTCATCCTTTGAAATTCTTATCAAAAGTTACTTCCTTAAGGAAGTCTTCTCTGTTATCTCCCCTCACCATAACTGGTCAGATCTCCCTCTCACATGCACTCAGATCATACTGCATTTTTTTCTTCCTAGCACTTATCAGAACTGTAATTAAATCATTGAAAATGACAAGTTTTCTTCTTTCCAATAATTCTCTTTCATGCCTGATTTTCTACCAGATATAAGCTCAATGAGAGAGGAGCCCTGTCTGTCATGTTTACCGTGGTGCCCACAGAGCAATCTCTACTTGAACAATACAGGGTTCTAGAAACACAGAGGGTCCTGAGGAACCAGCCTGCTGCTGACCAGTGTCCCCATTTCAGGAAATGTACCACATCTACCCAAAGGCTCAAACCAGGAACCCAAGGGTCATTTTTGAGTTCTCCCTCTCCTTCACTTCATGTAGCAAATTAACCTCCAAATCCTATCCATTCTATGTATTAATTAGCTCTCAAATCTGACCTTCTCTCCCCATTTCTATCCTATTAGTCCAAGCCACAGTCATTAATACTTTACACACTTGCAGTCACCTACTCAATGGTGTTCTGTCTCTTGAGTTGCTCCCCTCCAATACACTAAGTCCACACAGGATTCAAGAATGATCTTTGAAAAGTCCAATCTGATCATGTCATTGACGTGTGAAACCCAGTATCCTTGGATGAAACTGAACTTCTGTATCCTGCTTGTAATGCTCCTACTTCCTGCCACCTCCCCTGAGCTCTCCGTGCTCCAACCATCCCGACAGTTTTTAGGTTCCTTAAACTGAACACACTTTCTCTTACTTCTCTTGAAGAGCTTGCTTTCGAGTCTCACTTGAATGTTACATACTTCCTCAGGGAGCCCTCCCCAAATCCTAAAACTAGGTGCGCTGCTTAGCCTACATGGCATCACAGTGGCCGACCCTTCTGCATCTTAACCTTGATCACTCTTGTAATATCTTTTTCAGATTTGTCTCCACGAGGACTGTGATCACGTTGACTGCTGAATCCCCAGTGCCTGAGCCAACTTTTGGGTCACACTGGCTCTCGATAAATATTGGTCAAATCAATGAGTAAATGAATCAATAAATGTATGGGAGAGAAGCTGGACTGATCCTATGGTAGGAGTTAATTTGTACAGCAAATTGTTGTGGATAAAACAGATCTAGGTGGGGGAATGTCCTCCATTTCTAAGCCAAAGACCCTTGAAAAACCCTGTAAACCCTCCCCAAGAGGTGGTCCCACCACTCCTTGTTTTCTGAGGACAGGAGAATCCACATCTTGCTACCTCATCACATCGAATGTTTGTAAAAATGACTGATGGCCTTGGACGTGACTCTGGTCCTTTTCTTTCTTCCAGATGTGCTGGATTGCAACCTCTGAAAACAATGCTTTTTCAGAAACAGGCCTTCAACACCACAGGCAGAAATTAATGGGGTGCGAGATTCCAAATGGTATTCTGACGGAGGTCTCATTCCCAAGCTCTGAATTTCACTGCCCTGATAATTAGGGAAGTTGTGATACTTAGTGATTATTGGTTCCATGAGAACTAGCACTGGGTTAGACCTGACCACAAAAACTCATTTACATTGGGTAGAGGGACTCACGCCCTTTGGGTACCCACCTCATGCTTGCTGATGATAGTGAATGTTCTAATGAGACATGTATATCATCATAGATCATTTATGACTAATGAGCAAATTGGGGCTAAGGCTTGCAATTCAGAAGAATTGGCAAATTCCTTAATTAGGGTTTTGTTTCCACTTTCAATATAGAAAATAAAAAAAATTTTTTTTGTCCAACCTTAAGGTTCCTTTTGTTCATTACAGATAACAGCATAATAGGAAAACTCTGGACTTAGAAATAACCATATGGCTTTGGGCAACTTTTTTAACCTCTTAGGCTCCAGTTTGTAAAGTGGTGATACTAATATATACCCACATATACCCTTCTTCCTTAGTCCATTCACAGTGCTCACCGTCTCTCAAGTTGGCCACAGTACTAAACATGCTTAGTCTGCTTTCCTATTACCTCTGCTGAATAGCCATTTTAAGATATACAATATTGTCTCTCAACCTCAGAGTTAGTATTATTGCTCGGGCACTTCTGGGCCATGAGCTTCTGGCCTGCACGATGGCATGAGTGACAGCATGCAGGCAGGAGAGCTGAGGACCCTTTGGTCATACTCACAGGCCAGAGACGGGGTCCTGCTGGAGATAAGGCAGGGCTTTGGCATTAGCGATGATCTCCTGAGGCAGAGACGAGGGCTCCATGCGCTGGAACATGGGTGCATTTTTCTGTGTTGAAAGCAGGAAGGAGAAAAAGGAACTCAAATGACTGTGGGGGAAAATACAACTTAACTTGAGTAAAATAGGAGCGTGACTGATACCCTGTTTGACTATTTTAACCTTTGACCCATTGGGTTTCTAATCCCCCGATCCTAGCAAATTCCAGAACCCTGCACTCCTTACTGCTGATTCTAAGCATTTGCAGGGCACCGTGCCCCAGGGATGCACAGGCCTGTCCCTACAGGGGCCCTCATGTGACCCCTCATGGCCCACCCCCCATGCTGTCATTGACCCTCACCTGTTCCTCCAGCTGCTGCCTCTGCTTCTTCATCTTACTCTGTTTATAGTAGTCCATGATCATCATTGCTGCGTAGATTTTGCCCACAGTCAGGTCAGAGGCTAAAACCACAAATGTGGCGTGGAAGGGAACAGGGAGAAGACAGGTGGGAGAGAGTGAGGACACCTCTAAAGCTTTGTTCCCCACTCTCTGAAGCAGGTTTGCTCCTTCAGCCACCCATCCCTCCAACATTTACTGAGAGTTCCATATGTGCCAGGCACTGAGGATACAAAGTGAACAGGTCCCCATATGTATCCTCAGGAAGCCTCCATGGCCACCCACTGAGGGTGGTGATAAACAACACATTAGTAAGCATCCCCTCCCACTGGTCTAGATTTCCATCTCTAAGTTACACTACCTTTTTCCCAACTGCATGAGAGTTTGCTGAACAGTATTATGTGGAGCGAGAGAGCTATGCACCCAAGAAGTGTCACCCACAACCACCGTGACCTATTTTAAGAAAATGTTTTCAGTTAATAATGACAAAAGGGACTTAAGATGTGAGAGATTTTAGTTTCCTAAGGATAAGAGAGCAATCTTCCCTTATCTCCTTGATTATTCTGTGTTCCTCCAAAAGATGTGGTCTTGGCATGCTGGGCCCAAAGTGACAAGGACACCCAGGAGGAGACCCTATACCTTTGGGCATGGGCACCAGCAGATCTAGCATCTTTTGGGACAGATGAGGCCAGATGGCCAGGGTCTCCTTTTGTAGCTCCGCATCTAGCTGCTGCCTGTCTGCACCGCCTAGAAGAAGATAAATTATTAATAAATAAAATAGAGCAGACACAGAAATAACAAGGACTGACTGAGGGAGTGGGTGGGGGTAGGAGCTGAATCAGCATGGCACCTCATATTCTCAGAGGAAATCTTGGCACTTAGTGACAGTGGATCTTGCAATACCAGGTCTTTCTGCTGAAGGAGCAGAAGACATTTTGGCTCCCATTTCCAGTGACTCAGGGATATCCTGCTACAGAGATCTGAGGCCCTGAGACCAGGATCAGCTTCGTCATTCATTCAAAAAGCTCCTAGGTGCTCAACACATCAGAGGAGAAAACGAAAAGAGCCACACGCGAGCCGCCCCTGCCTTGTTACACATACATCAATTCTTCCAGCGACTCTGACTCCATAATCTGAGTGATCCGATTTTAAAAATGATTTGGATCAGGCAAGAGCAGGAAGGCTGGAGGTCCATCTGGAAGCAGTAAACCTTTTCCCTCCTAAATCACGGAATTAGAAATCAAGAGGAGCAAAGGGCTGCCATGACAGCACCTGCCACAGACGCCTTCCAAGACGTTTGAGACACCGCACAAGGGAAAAAGGACAAAATTAAAACTCATCTGTTCCATAAACAAATATTTCTAAAATGGCTTCTACATGCCAGACACTGACGATCACATACGATTAAAGCTGAAAGGAGCCTTAGAGATGATCAAACTGTTCATTTCACCAGGAAGAAATGGCGAATACTCTCGTTATGGAATCAGAGGTGAAAGTGGGACCCTGCTATTTGACTTCCAGGTCACTGCATTACTGGATGGGTGAAAGTTGAAGCATCTCCGTCCTGCACCACCCTGCCTGAGTTGTTCCAGAACCTCTTTTTCATTCCTAAGCTTACCTTTGGCAATTTTGATATCCAGAGCTGTCCGGATCAGAGCCATAAGTGTGGAGGTGAAGTGGACGGTCATATCCTCAGCCACTGGCATATTCATCAGGACCAACCTCTGTGTGGAAGAGAGAAAAGAAACAGCAGGAGGAAAAAAATATCGAAAGAAACCCTGGTGAGAAGGGAAGAAAAGTGCAGAGGTCAAATGCAGAGACAAAAAAGAAGGGCAAGGATTCCCCATCCCTTGTCCCAGGCCTACTCTCCCTACTCTCACTTAAGGCTCATTTTCTGCTGATTATTTTGTTTTTTCCTAGGGAATGATGCCAAATTCCAAGAGAAGGGGGACTAACCATTCTGTAGGACTTCTCTGTGGTCCTAAGAACGTCTTTAATAGGAATGGGAAATGATTTCTGAAAGAAGTGGCTCAGGGAAAAGAGTCAGCCCTGGGAGGTGGCTCCATTCCCTGGTTCACGGCTGCTCTGTATTTCCACTTCTCCCATGAACACCCCCCAAACTCAGATGGAAAGATAGTGATGGGGGAGATTTTGCTTTGCTTATCTGACTTGAAAGATGCATCCTGATGCCCCCTTTTTGAGTCTTTAAAAGATGAAATTTGCCAGCACATGATTGAACATGCATAAGTCAAACTTATCCAAAGGATGAGGTGGAGCAGGATGGAAAAGGAGGAGAGTGCAAACAGGTCTAGGGGAAGAAGGCTGGGGAGAGCAGAAAAGAGAGGATGCGAGAAGGGTGAGCAAGGCAGGAGCAGAGTGGGCAGGCCTTGTTCCCTTCACCCAAAGGAAGGGATCAAACTGAAATGGCCAAATCCACTTTCCAGAGAGTATTTTGCTTTTGGAATCCTTTAACTTTTCCTTCAATCCCCACACCCCTTCTCCCACCAAGCTTCATCCCAGAAATTAAATGAACTCAGAGCCACATTCCACCACCCGGTACTTTTGGATGTGGCCATCATGAGCAAAAAGGATGCCAGCCCCTAAGCTGCACACAAGGAGCCATGTACTAGGATGGATGACGGTCCCTGGTGGGCCTTGTTCCAATGAGATGCTCTCTGGAGCTACACAACTTAGAGGTAGCAGCAGGAGAAGGTCCTCTGGCAGAACCACCAGCCTAGCAGAGAGGGACATGTCTCTTCCCAAGGCAGGGTCTCTAATACCCCATTGGAACATCTTGCCTAATGTGATTTCACAGAAGTGGTGTCTTACAGCGTAAAGCCAGTTTCTTGTTTATATCTGCATTCCATCTCTCTCCCACTTCTTTAAGCTTCTCAAGAAGTGGCAACTTTGCTGTAGTGTATTCCTAGATGAATGAAAGAGCTCCAGAGTTCTGGGTCAGTCTAAACACCAAAGGGGAATTAACAGTAACTAGTACTAACTGTGAGGAAAAAATTCAGGCCCCAAAGCTATGAGTACCCTAATGGCAAGTGGCTCCCAATGTACAACGCTGTTCTAAGCAACCATGGAGAATCCACCCATAACTCCAGGGCCTGGCCTCATAATTAGTCATGCTAATAAGGCCAATCTAATGCTGATGCAACTTATGCCCACTGTCACCCTTTCCCTTGCATTGCCAAGAGAACCGGGTAGCTGGGCTAATGGCAGAAGGGAGCTGCATCCTTCATCACAGATCATGGGATAGAAGTCATGTTCCTCTTTTTCCTGATACTAGAAGGAACCAAGCCATAGTTCCGTCCCACGTCATGGAGGAAGAAATTTGTTAAGAGTTTTCCTCTCTCCTAAAAATTTCTTCTTGACCCATGTTTAGAGGAATTTCTGCATTATTTCCTGAGCTTATTTGGTTGAAGACGTGTCTTTTTTTATAAGCTCTGAGAGCTGCTTTGCTGTAGGCTTCCTTCTTGCCCATATATGCTCTCCCCCAGGCCACCACTCTGCCTCCTCTAAAAGAAAACAGGCTACTTAACACTTCCTCTCTAGCAACCCACTCACAAGAAGCCACACACTTGTAGAAACACAGAATAACACATACAAAAGCCCACGTTGAACAGGATTGCAAACCATCCCTTGTATCATTTTAGGACTTCATCCTTCCTGATTCTTCCTGACCCTTCCATCTCATCATTTCCTCTTTCCCTGGTTCCCTCCTCCACCTTCCCAGCCCAGCTTCCTCCCCACAGCTGGATCCCATTTCCTGTTGGTCTCTAGCCCAGAACAAAGGAAGGGGTGGTCTACCTTATATGCCACTTTGGAGGGACATCTCTTGCCGAGGCCTAGCGGTGGTGACATGAGAGTCAGCATTTCATACATCTCAGTGTAATGGATGCGGCCACTGCTCATGGAGGGGTCGTAAGTTGGGATGGGGTGGGTTGGCAGGGCAAGGAGGGTGGCAGGGAAAGGAAAAGGACGAGGGGAGAAGGATGCAGACAGGAAGGAGAACAGGCATTCCCAGAGAGCCAAAACGATACAGACAAACAAAATAGTAGAGAAAACAGGAGAAGAAAAACAAAACAAAATGGACAAACAGGAAAAGAATAGGAAATCTGTTAATCAAGGCAAATCATACACGCAACTCCATCCTGGTGCAGATTTATATCACGCCCCACACAGACCCGGGAACGCCGATGGCAACCTCTGGCGCCTCTGACTCTCGTGTGCACCGTCATGAGGACTCGTTTTCTCTCCCCGGATTAGCAATAGCCTACTTCCCTGTTCACACCGTCCATGCCCCATACAACACAAGCTTGTTTTCAATTCCCAGGGCTGTGTGCGAGCGGTATAAACCGGATAGACGGTGCTCCAGCCATGGGTTAGAATTTCTGGCCCTGGGTGGCACGGGGGTGCCGGCCTGGAAGTCAGGCCCTTCTCCTCCTCTGAACCCACAGGCGGAACGTCGTGTATCCCCCTCCGTGGTGTGTGTGCAGCAGGAGACGGCGACTCGCACTGAGAGTGGTGGGCTGTGGCTGCTTGTCAGAGTTGGCCCGTTGCTTCCACCTGGCTCTGTGAAGAGTGCTCTTTATGCCCCAGCATGCCCCAGGGCGATGGCAGGCTGGGGACAGAAGAAACAAAACCAGGAGGAGGAAGAGCATCTTGCATGCCATGCTGCCCTCCCGGCTCTCCCCACATGCGGCTGCAGGTTTCACCAGGGTGGAGTTTAAAGAGTCTCAGCAGAGGCAGCTGTTTGGCCTCTGGAGTATGGGAATCACTTGTCACCATCCCAAGCCAGCTCCTTCCCATTGCCCAGGCTGCCTTCTTCCTGGGCCTAAGTCTTCTTCCAGCTGCTGTGCTGTGCTACGCCCCAGGGAGCCGCGCTTCCCTCCTGCAGCACCAGGAGAGGCTTCCTTATCTAGTGGGCTTGGCCCTGGACGGTGGCTTGGCAGAGCCACTGGGATGTCAGAGTTCCCAGGATCTGGCAGAGTTGGAGAGGGAAGTCCTATATGCACCTAAACAACGTCCTTGGTCTCACAAACAAGCAGTGACTCAGCAGTTATTACAGACCCTTTGGCCCCCTCAACAATATATGGCAGGACTCTAAGGCAAGTAATCTGCTCAGGAGCCCTCCACCATCCACTGAGACCTTCCCAGATCCTCTGAGCTACTGAATTCTTCCACACACCACCAAATCTATCTTCTTTTACTCACTCTCACCTCTTGCCCTAATTCTTTATCATTTCTCACCTCCTTTTTGTCCTATAGCCTTTATAATCACTTGTGGCCAACCTATGCAGGAGCTGGAGGGTGGGCAGAGGTAGGGATGACTAGAATCACACATTGCTACATTATATATGGGATGATGATGCTCTTTTGCTAAAAGGAGGCTGTTTCCAGTGAAGGGAAACCACAACTCTTTGCTGGATTAAAAAGATTTCTGCATTCTCTGGAGGAGAAGTCCCTCTGGTTAAGTCTACAGATTAAGGTGGAGTGGGAGGGGGGGGAGGGAGAGAGAGAGAGAGAGAGAGAGTGTGTGTGTGTGTGTGTATGTGTGTGTGTGTACACGCACAAATGACCGTGTACATGTGAAGAAAAGTGGGAAAGGTCAAATCGGCCTTCATTATTAAGTCTTGAACTCTTTTTTCCGCCTTCCCCCCAAAACGTGCCCTTCTTCCTTATGTAACGGCTGCCGGTTCTGGGACGGTTTGGACCTCTTTAAACTCAAAGGAAAGCAACATGAAGGCTCCCTCATGTGGCACAGTGGTGGTGGATCAGAACAGAGAGGAAGGGTTTGGAGTTGTACCCCACTGCCGGTCATGGCTGGGGACTGGGAGGCAAACCTTGCAAGCCACCCTGTAGGGGCAGTTCTCTCCCAGGCCCAGAGGCGGCGAGATCACCCGCACTAATTTGTACATATCCTTATACGGGATCCTGCCGCTGTAAAAGAAGCACAGTGGGTTAATAGAACACTCAGAGAAGGGTGGGACAGAAATGACAGCTTAGCCATGAAGGGGATGGTTAGAAGAGGAACAGCAGCTTCTTTCCTTGGGCCTGCAAAGCCAGACCAGGAGAGACTGAGAACAGTAAGCATCAGAGAACTATCGCCTTGCGGACCGCACTGACCCTAATTTTCTAAGGAAATCAGAGCCCGTCCAATGCCCAAAGGGACTGACTGATGACCAAGAGCACCCGAGATACCTATACCCGGCAAGAGGCAGAAAATGGACCCTGGCTCAAGCTAGGCCTCTAAGAACAAAGCCTGTTGATTCACAAAAGCCTCTGGCCGCTGTCTGGAGCAGATGCCAGGCTGTCGTGAAGTGGACTGCGGAACAGTTTGCTTTCCACAGACTGATTATAGTCAGTTACTCAGATCCGCCTGTCAGGGGCAGTGGGAAGTCAGCGTCTTTCTGCAGACTGCGAGAGACAAACTTCCCATTAGGCTAATTAGCAAGGAGCACCGTTGGCACAAGAGAATTTGCAAAGGGCTTTGCTTCTCTTTCTGGCAGATTTTTCCGGAGTTTAGCTTGGGGAAGCTCTGTTCGACTTGGTGGGAGCCTGCCGGGATCTGTGCTCAGAGAGCAGCTTGGGAGGGAGCCCCGGACCTTCTCTCCCCAGCCCCGCTCCTGCCACCCAGCCCACAGGCAGGTTGGTGGGATCCAGCCAGAATTCCAGAACAATGTGACCTATCTTACCAAGCCCGTTTCACATGAGCCTGCTAGTGAGTTCTGGCTTTCTGTGGAAAGGATGGAATCAACACGTGATTCACTTTCAGTGGCTAAACCGTCTGATGCGTCAGGGGCCAGAACAAGGAAGCAATGGCCAGAGATCTGCAGATCTGGACAAACGCTGGTATGAACCAGGGTTTCCACCAGAAATTATACACACGTCCACCTCTGAGCATCCAGGCCTCGCCAGCAGCCATGTCGAGACTAGGGCTCTGCTCCAGCCTCACTCTTTCTAGTCTTTTCTTGATTTCGGTGTTGATCTCTCCTCTTCATCCAAATAGCAGCTCATCAGTACTTCCAAGTCTCTTGATTCTTGAGGGGAAGTTAATTTAACCATTTGTTCTTTTGTTTCTTATTGAGATTGTGATGTGGGTGGGTTGGTACTGTCTACAGGCTGATGTTCTCTGCAACCTGCATCAGTCTTCTTTCTGAAGACATTGGCTCACTTTAACTTTGTTAGTTTTCTCCCCCATCATCTTATAGAGAAGGCCAATGAAACCCTAACCAGAACAAGCGATGCTGTGCATTTCAAGGCAGACAGAAGAGGTTCTCTTTTTCTTTTTGCTCTCTCACAGCTCATGATCTAAGTCTCATGATTAGTCCTCATGGAATCGTTCCTTGTCAGCAGCTGGAATGAGTGCAGAGGAGCATGTTTAATGCACATGGCATTTGGGTCCCAAGATAATGTGAAACCTCAGAAAGCTGGGATTTCTGAGAACCAAGGACACCTGAGCGAGGTGAGGTGAGCAATGAACTCCTTTGCTAGCAGTTGGTTTCTCCTCTCTCAGGTTAGTGAAGACATCCCTTCCTAGGCTCCCAATCCCCTGGCCATCCATGATTTACAGACCAATTTTCCACACTTTCCAGTTGCATTCCCATCTGGCTATTGTCAATCATAGTAACAGTTACATACATGATTTAATATAACTGTCACAACTAGCCTTCAAGGTAGGTAGGTATCATTACCACCATTTTATAGATGAGGAAGCTCAGAGTGGTTAAGTGACTTGTCCAAGGCCACGGAGCTGGTAAGATGCAGGCCTGGCTGCATTCCCCTCTAACACACAGCCCATTGCTTTCTAAGCAGCCTATCTACTAGAAAGTCGACCCAGAAAGTAAAAGCCATTGCTCAGCCATTGTTAACAGGCATGGATTTAGAGAACTCTGTGTCTAAGTCATTAATAATTACTGAGGGGAAGAGGAATTCTGATTCACTCTTCTAATCCCTAAAGCAGCGACCCAAGTTCAACAGCCTAACAGGAGGATAGATTTTGGGAACAGTCTCAGATTATGAAGGGGTTCCAGGTGGAAGCAACATGGTCCATTCCGTGAAGGATGGCATTTTTTGTAGTATTTTCAGAGGGGACCAGAATGGATATATTGGTGAGATAAGATCCTAAAGCTAAGAGGACGTGGGACAGAAAAGTTCCTGTGAAGTGAGCGCTCACAGAACTCTCATCCTGTCCTCAAATGTGAGGGCCAAAATGTTGCTTTTGGTGCTCTAAAGCAGGCATCAGCAAACTTTTTCTGTAAGGGGTCAGACAGTAAATATTTTCAAATTTGAGAGGGTACCATCTCTCTTACAACCACTCAACTCTGCCTTATGATGTAAAAGCAGCCATAGACAATACATAAATGAGTGGGTGTGGCTGTGTTCCAGTAAAACTTTCTTTGCAATAACAGGCAGCGGGCCACATTTAGCCCATGGGCTGTAGTTTGCTAACCCTTGTTCTAAAGCCCAAAAGGTACAACATCACTTGAGAACTATGGGACATTGAAAGAGACCTGGGGAGGTTATCCTGCAAATTCCTGCCATTTAACTCAGTTCCATGCATAAAAATCCACAAGTATTTAAGAGATCAGCTGGAAAAACAAGTAGCTTCATTTTTAATATAATTTCAGAGCTATTTGAAACTGTACTTTTTCAGGGGGATGAGAGAGATAAAACACTAATGTCACTGACCACGGTGGCCAGATGTCCAGCTGGCCCAGAAAACCCTTGTCAACTCCCCTGATGAGTCCAAGAAGTCCACTAACCATTGGCAAGAAAAGAAGAAGAAAGATTATTGGAAGCTCCTCTGGGGATTGAACCCAGACATTCTGAGTGAGGACTGTGTGATGAGATTGGCAAAGAAAGGGAAAAGCCTGTCACAGGAGGAAAGAGAGAGGAAAGGAAGTTAAAGAAGCTAAGTTTTTGATGACTGGCTTGATACCAGCGCCAATCTGAGGACCTGGCCTCTTCCATGGGCCACAACCAAGAGGAATCTCTCCTCCTTCTGTAACAGGCAAGCATTTGAGTGGCTCCAATTCCAACCTCTTCCTTGAGGCCTTTGATACAGACCCCACCGGGGTGGCTGAGGGGCCTACGCACCATGCAGCTCTGTCATATTCTGCCCAGACACGGACAAACTCATCCAAGTGGTGAGGCCCCAGGATGGACGAGTCCCGAGTCAGGTACTCAAAGTTGTCCATGATGACGGCCACAAACAGGTTGAGCATCTGAAGGGCAAGGGGGAGAAGAGGAGTTAGGAGAAACCTAAAACAGAAAACAGGCTTCAAGGCAAATAAAGAATTCAAAAGTTTGTAAGGCTGAAGTTCCTCACTAAAGCACCACTGATCTTGCTGAACACATTTTCATTATTTGTTCCACACGTTTCATTGTGTGAGCATTATGATCTCACTTTCTATGCCACTTTATATTTGCACAGTCGCTTTTATTATCTGTTCAATTTATTTAATTGTTATTGCAGCAGCAGAGGGAGCAGCAGCAGTGACAACATTCCCAAAGGCCAGAGGAAGTCAAGGCCTGACACCAACCCTCCCTCCAACCTCCCTCCCCAACCCTTGCTCCACAAAAGGAGCCAGAAAGAGAAACGGTGAGATGTAGAGCTGACTGCATGGCTTACTGTGTGATGACTTGAAGCTGTTCATGGCTCTTAAGTGGTTTCCAAGACCCTGTTCTCCTGCTTATCTGTTCAATAACATTTATTGCGCACCCACTGTGTTCCACACAGAGAGCCAGGTGCTGGGGATGGGAGATAAGAAAGTTCTTGTCCAGAGGTATATTTCCATGCCTAGCACGTTGCCTAAAGCACAGCAGGCATGTTGTGCCTTCACTAAATGTTGATATGTGAATATTCTTAAAGACTTACTTAGTATTTAGTAGAGACTATGACTTATTGGAAACATACACATTTTTTTAAAAGCCATGAAAGAAGCATACACAGTTTACAGTGGGAACAGAAAGGAGTGTGAAGGCAATTTCTCCTGGCTGAAGAAAAAACGTGTAAGAGGGTTGATGATTGAGCTGGGTCCTGAAAGACCAGGAACTGTTCACCAGACAGACATGGCCACAAAACCAGGTGTTTTAGGCAGAGGAGCCAGCACGAATGAGAGAACACAGAGGTATTCAGGGACGGGGAACATTCAGGCAACCATAAAGGGAAGTGCACCCGGGCCCAGGGGACAGAGCACAGAAGCATCTTGTCGACCACGCTAAAAAGTCTAGACTAGGGTCGGCGAACTGGTCAGAGAGTAAATATTTTAGGCTTTGTGCACCGTACAGTCTCTGTTGCGGCTGTTCAGTTCTGCTGTCATAGTGTGACAGCAACCACAGACGATATGTATAAGGAGGAGCATGGCCATGTTCCAATAAAGCTTTATTTACGGACACTGAGATTTGAATTTCATGTAATTTTTACATCATGAAATATTATTCATCTTTTGATTTTTTTCCTCAACCAATTAAGAATGTAAAAACCATTACTAACCCATGGGCCATACAACAACAGGTGATACACTGGATTTGGCCCATGGGCTATAGTTTGCCGACCTCTGGGCTAGATGATGCAGTAGGCAACAGGAACCACTAGAGGGGTTTATACTAGGAGAGAGACCAGGGGATATTAGCATTCAGAAAGAGCCCCGGGTAACGATGTGGAGAGTGAGTGGGAGACCAGGGGGAGAGTTTTGCGGTGCTCCTGAACCAAGCCACTGGCAGGACAGTAGCATAGTAGGAGTAGAGAGTTAAAGGAAGTGGAATCGACAGGACTGATGACCACAGTGAGCAGGACTGTTGTTCCTTGGTTGTCCAGCACTCATTTACTGTACTTCTGGTCTCTTAGGGACCCACCCCTTGCCTATTCCCAATTAAAATGGTTCAGTGGGGTACCACCTGTGATCCAGGCCTCAGACAGTCATTGAGGACCAATTCTCTGGACCAGTGATTGGTGATCCAATCAAGGCCAACAAAATGGTATTGAAACTTCTGGCAAAAGACTTGTTCTTCCCTGTGGGTCTTGAATGTGTGAGGATTGAGGTCTAGAGCTGCTGCTACAGTCATCTTGGAGCCATAGGGTGGGGGCGTGTGAGAAAAGAGCTCACACTGGGGAGGCCGGAGGAAGAGATCTAGGAATAAAGCAGTCTGGTCCTGGTGATGTCATGTGAGCCCCAGATTAAGCTTGCTTACGCCTGTCCTGCCCCAGGACTACTCATTTACAGAGGCCTATACAATCCCTTCTTGCTTAGGCCAGATGTAGCTGGGCTTTCTGTGCTCGCAAGTGAAAGAGTTCTGCCTCACAGAGAACAACTGGCTGTGGGCGTCAGGGAAGAGGCATCTCTGTTGATGATTCTCAGGTTAAGTGGCTGGGTAGATGGAGGTGCCAAATATGCAGTCAGGATATACAGGATAAGGAGAAAGTCTGCAGGGAGGACCTGGTTGGAGTCTTCTCTGCAATACAGAGACTGCTGGCCACATCCTAATAACCAGTCTCCTTCCTTCCTCCCTCTTGCTGCATAGGATATAAGTCCCTGGAGGTCTAGCTGTCCTCCATCCTCCCACCATGAGGATGAGGGACACTCTCTACACGTGATGGAGCAGAAAGAGGGAAGCAGTCTGGGGCACTAACCACTCTGTGGAGCCTCCACAACAAGCCTGCACTGCCTTCCCCCAGACTTCACTGATGTGCCAGGGAAATAAACACCCCTCTTGGTTAAGCTACTGTTGTCCAGGGAGTTCTGTGTCATGCAGCTGAACCTGATCCTAACATAGGCCTTTCTTTCTGTTGCTGAGAGTGGAGCCCCAGTGAATTTATTCAATCACTGCCTGGGTTATAAAGGGTTTTCCATGTATCCACATATTTCTTTTACACTCTTTGCCCGGTACAGTACCTATTATTAATGTTATCAAAAACTATTAGTAGTATTATTGCTTTACATTTGCATAGTCCTTTATAGTGTGGGGTGTGCATTCACACCTATTATATGTTTTAATGCTGCTCTAACCTAGTGAGGCAGACTAAATTAACACCAGCCCTTTAAGGACACAAGTGCTTCCTCTACACATTTGTATTCTTAGCTCTAAGCACATGGCCTGGCTCATCACAGGGCATCAGTAAATCTTTCGGGAATGATGAGTTTGAGTTGAGAAGCTGTGTGACTTGCCCAAGGTCACAAAGCCAATCTCACATAGGGCTGAGATTTGAAACTAGATCCTCTCATACTGAATATAGTCTCTTCAAAAAATTAAAAAATATATATATATCATTAATGTGAATTAGGTAGTACCCTCCATCTCAAAATTCTAAAAGTAATTTTCCAGTTATATCTTTGGTTTCTTTTAAATATTTATTATTAAACACTTAAACCATGTAGGATAAAACTGAGATGTCTACCCGCCCTTCTACATGCTCCATTTCTCCCCATCAGTTAGCGCTGACACCACTGTATGCCTTTCCTCCTTCCACTGAAGGTGATGGGGGGACTGTGCCTTGCTGACAGCTTTACCCAGTGCCTAGTTCAGTGCAAGCCTTTTAATAGCCACTCAATAAAAATGTGCCAAATGTGTGAACGAATAAATGTAAAACTCCAATTAATATCATCATTCTAAATTTTCTTTCAGTTATTTTCATTATACAGTATACTTCCATATTTGTAAATAGGATACTGTTTTGTGTTCTTTTCCATTGAAAAACCTTTCACACCCATGAGAAGGAAGCGTATTAAAACACATGTATCAGCTCACCATGCAAATAATACTCTTATTATCAAGTCATTTTTCCTCCCATTTTACAGAAGCTACAAAAGGGAAGGGATCTTGGCCAAGCCTAGAATGGCAACAAAGCCAACACCACGATGTGGGCTACTCCATCCCCAGTTAGTTCACTCTCTGCTACGTTAACCCGCTGACCACACTTAACAGTCTATGTGCAAGCCACTTGCTTACTCCCGAGAGCTGGACATGTGGCAAGTCCCCTTGGGATCACTTCAAAGAGGTCGAAATGCCAGGACCTGAGACCACTTTTTTCATTAATTCACTTTTTGATGCACACCCATGAAACTGACCACTTTCCAGTCCCATTGCTTTAGTTTTAGATTTTGTACAGCCAATGGCATTAGCAGTAAAGCTGAGCTGAGGGATGTCAGGGTGGCCAGAAACACCACTGACCCTTTTATTGATTTGGTAGCACCTCATCCATTATTCTGTTTATCACTGCTTGTCTGATTGTGCAGGGTAGAGATTTCTGGATGCTGGTGTGCTGATTCATATTTTCTCCCAAAGATAGAACTAAGAAGGCACCTCAGGCTCCTCACAACTTTATAAGTAGGTATACTGCACATATATTCCCCAATCAACATTCACTAATGCCCAAAGCAATTACATCCTTTCACGTCTATCAAGCTGGCTAAGTGTCAAACATAATGACATCACAAGTCAAGAAAGAACCACGTCTATTACGTTGTATACTGTCATTATTCTACTCTTGTTAACACGATCATCTTATATTTTTAAGGTACATTTCTCACTAGTTCAAAAGTCTCCAAAAGCGAGATAAGATATTCTTAGCCCTACTTATATGACAAAATACCTGAGGTATGGAAGAGAAAGAATTTACTGTGGGTCACAACAGATTCAACGCGAAGCTCAGTGTTGTATTTGCCAAACTCTACTCCACTCAGCATTTCTTCTCACAACAATCCTTCTCTAGAAGCAGCAAAGACTTCTCAACCATGGAGAGTCACCCACCCAGGAGTCTGATACACATTCTGGCCTCCAAGACTTCTCTGGAGGAGGACCTGTTTCTTAACATGGGCTGGAGTGTGTGTGTGAACGTAAGCTGAAGGAAACATCTCTTAGCTATTTATCAGAGGGGTGGGCCACACCTCAAGCCAAGAGCACAGCGTTGCTCACCAAGAAGGAGCAGAAGAAGATGAAGGAGACAAAGTAAACGTAGGCCAGATCGGTGCCGCAACGCTCATTCTCGTTCTGCCCTGAGGGTGCGGTGGTGTCCGGCTCACAGCCTTTCTCCCCGAGGCACGACAGCATGATCTCCTGCCAGGCCTCACCTGTGGCACTCCTGAGCCCAAAAGACAGAGTGGTTAGTAGTCACAGGTCAGGCGTCCTATCCTCTCCGTGGCTCTCTTTCCCAATTCACTCACCTCTTTCTCTCCTCGTCCCAACAGGTTCTCTTTGTGCCCAGTTAGCCTCCCTCTAGTGCCTTCCATCCAGAGATGGCGAGTACCAAGGAGGTCTCTCTTGGGTTCTGCCACCTCACCCACTGCTTTTCTGTCTTTTGAGGAGTCTCCGCTGATGGTGGTGGAGACAGTGGTGGGACTCTCTAAGACCCCACATAAACCTGGCCAACCCAGGTTTCAGCCCTGAAATGGAATTTGGTCTACAAGAAACTGTCCTGGCCTTCCCCCTCTCAGAGTCCTGGAGGACCAGTTGAAGTTGCAATTTGCAAATTATCTACTGAGTCAAAGATGTTGAAGAAATTTTCTAATGTCATCGGAGCAGTTTTTCACAGACATTCCCCACCCCCCCGTCCCCACACCACCAGATATCCTGATAGGAGCAGAGCAGGCAGAATAGAGACACAAAGCAGAATGGAGGAAGAGGCAGACCAGCTCTGTCTCCCTCGGCAGGAGAGCCGCAGCTACGACAGTCATGCATCCAGTACCTGAAGAGTAACATGAGGGACCCAAAGAAACTCCGGAAGTTGTTGTGCCGGTTGATGTGACTCTCCTCATCTAATTTTATGTTTCCAAAGACCTTGAGGAGAGAAGCAACAGAAAGCAACGGGCATTACTGAGCTATGTGATGTGTCCAGCATGTGGATATCAGATGCGCCCACAGGGTTGGCAAACCCGCACGCATGGCTCCTCCTGACGGCCTCATCCTGAAGCAGACGACCCAAACCCAGAGGGGCTGGTAGACCCCACGCTCTTGGACTGATATGCAGAGCAATTATATTCTCCAGTGCAGCAAAGAGGACAAATGCTAGCAAGGACCAGAGAAGGCAAGATCTTTTGAAGTCATTCTGTCTGAATGTAGTTCCTCCCACACCTAATTAGGTCTTCTTATTTCCATGGTACCTGTCACCATGGTACTCACCATAGTACTCAAGCAGTCTGTCAAAGACTTTACTCCATAACAGGAGTGCAGGAAAGAGCCACCCCTCTATTCCTGTCTCAGCAGGAATGATGGCAACATCTGTATTTGTAGAAGATGGGATTTAGGGCTTGGGTAGATGCTGCCCTGGAATCTGCAAGCCATTGAGGTCAGAGAAGGGCATCTCTGTCTCCCTTGGATAGTTCCTATTCAGAGTCAAATCTCAGAAGGTTGATACATCTACAATAGAGTCCATGAGAATGAACACATACAAAACAAAGTCCAGGCCAATAGGATACAGAAAGTGAGACAACTGGATACTTTGAAAAAGAGCACAGATTTGGGAAGATGACTATAGAGTGAAGTTTTCTAATCTGCTGTTGGTCGCTGGGCTTAGAATGTGGTCACCACGCAAATTCACGTAGAAAAAGAGGGACAACTCAGAGATCTTTATCCACAGACAGTGAATAATGATGAACAGCGCTGCCTGGAGCCAAGGTCAACCCTGTCTCTTTGGATGAGAAGGGTGCCCTAACACATGTACTTTTCTCCCCACCCATACTTCAGATACCAGGATCTATTCCCACAAGGCAGTGTTTGTACAACTGAAGCCTTACAGGTCACTTTTCCAGCCGTTTGAAACAATTTTCAGCCTACATTTAACATGCTTCAGTTTACCTAATATATGCTAAATGGAACACAGTTTTCCCCCTAACAGTTTTTAGAATGTGCACTTGAGGAACAATCTCTGCCCCCAGCTATTTTGCTCAAATAACTCCCACTGACACCTGCTTGGGAAATTTGTTCCCAACGCTGTTTTTCAAAACCCGAACACTACTTGTCTCTCAGGGAGAATGGAGGTGGCAAGCTAGGCAGCATTGGAGAAGAAAGGAAGGAAAACGATAAGAAGGTAGGGGCCCCCACACAGACAAGTAGTAGCACGGAAAAATTCCCAAAGAATCACAGCTAGTTCTGGACACCCCAGGAGGAAACTGTCACATATCCTCGCCCATGCTCACATTTCCCTCTCACTCTCTTTTCACTCGCTTGGTTCAGAATCCATGATTTATCCCTGATTCATCACATAAACACAACTCACAGTGTTCTTTCTCCCTATGACACCCCTGAAGCCATCATTGGTTGTCCTCACTATGATTTTCTCAAACACCTTAGCCAATCATGAACAAGTTGGAGGACATGCTGTGATTTGCATGAGGTATATGTGTAATAGTCAAAGAAACCAGAGCTATTTTGAATCTACTCTAAGATAATTTTCAAGCCAAAAGTGTGTATTTATTGTGAAGGCGGTCTTCAAAGTTTTTTCACTTTTTTTTTTAGCTTTTCACTTAGTCCTTGTCACTAACACCACTCTCCCACATCAAAGGGTATGGCAGAGAAAGAAGAGATGCTGAGACCCATCAGGAAACTTAATAAAGGTATAGCTTAAATCCATTTTCACTTGGAATCACAAAACTTTAGAACTAGAAAGGACCTGTGAAGCTGTGTATTCAACTCCTCTACTGTACTGGTGAGGGTGTTAAGGCCCAGAGAGGTTCAATGACTTGACCAAATTTGCAGAGCTGGTCAGTGGTGGAGCGAGCCTGAAAACCTCATCTCCTAATGTCCCCAGGGCTCTTTCTCATATCCAGCAAGTTACTCTTTCCTTCCATTTTCAGATTCCTCTGCAAAGCTCTCTTTTTCCAAGAAGCCTCTGAAAGTACGGAATAGGAGTTCTTCTCGTAGATATATCCTGTTGCTGTTTATATCCTCCTAATGCTTGCCTGCCTTTCGTCTTTCTGTTTGCATGGCTCCCTCAGCTTTGTCATGACTGTATGAGACGCAATCTCTCCAGTCACAAGCTAGGTGCCCACTTTGTGTGTGGTACAGGGTCTCTGTCACAGACCAGGATGAAGACAGCTAGCTCAAGTCAAGTCACAGCAGGAATGCCATTCATGTCTCGTGGAATGGAAATAGTGCTCTTATTTTTTGGAAAGAAGTCTAAGGGCAATAAAATATTAGCAATTATGGTTATTGTAAAGATCGCAATTTCATGACTGAACAGCTCCCACTTCCCACTAAACGGTCAAAGAAACACTAGTATTTGCTTGTTGGTGGGACGAGACACAGTACAGAGAACATGCAGTACAGTAAGAACATGGGCTATGGAGCAGACAGAGCTGAGCTTAAATCTCAGCTCTCCCACCTACTATCTGAGACCTTGAGCTTGTTAAAGTTACTTAACCATGCTAAGCATCAATGGAGACAAGGAAATCCACCTATAAACATTTTCACACCACTCTTGAATATATTAGTCATATATATCTTGAGTGTGTGTATGTATATATATATATATGTACATATCTGTGTGTGTGTGTGTGTGTGTGTGTGTGTGTATGGTGGGGAGAGAAGGAGAGGAGGAGAGAAGGAGAGAAGGAGAGGAGGAGAGGAGGAGGAGGGAGGAAGGAGGGAGGAAGAACATACATTTAGCACAGTGTCTGGCACACCCAGGAATCCAAGTAATGGTAAATAGCATTATCACCATGATTGTAGTATTAGTAGCAGGTTAGTTATTGGAGATGGTGTTATTCTAGTTTATTTTGCTTGAAGATGAAAAGGGGCTAAGGACTATTTTAAGCATGGGCAAAAAAGAACTTAATTTAATCAAGTTTCACTTGGCTGTTCAAGAACATTTTAATTCTAGAATCAAATATTTGAGAGTTAGAAGGGACTTAATAGAAGTCACCGAGCCAATCTTAAACTTCAGCAGATTCTGCTTCAGCAGTGTTCTGCTTACAACACACCCCTGACATCATCCTTAAATCTCTACTGAAATATCCTCAGTGAAGGAGAACTCAGTACTTCCCAACCTAGTCTCATACTCTTTGATGCTTGACATTCTATTGTATTTTTGGAGAACAAAACTCTCTAGTAATGGGGTTAGCAGATGAAGAAAATTAAGAAGCACAGGCAAGAGAGAGGGACAAAAAGAGGAGACAGTTCAGAGATGCTCTGGAAAGGGCTGCTGACTCAGCAAGCCTGGGAGATGCGTGCAGTGGCTGCAGATGGCAGGCACCATGGAGAAGACAGCTGGCAGTCTAAGGGTGGCCAGACTGCCTGACTGCAGAGGACTGCCACTTGGCTGAAGTTCTATGCTGGGATTTAGTCTCCCTATCTCCAAGTCAGAAGGTTAGCCTCCCTGAGACAAGCAGCAAGCCTGTGTATCCAGCTGGATAGGTTCATGGGATGTGCTGCTGGTTGTTTACAGTAGAGTCCACCCACCACAAATGACAGTCACCTCAGAAAGATCTTTGGCCTCTTCTGTTCAGTGGGCCTCTGGCTACCTGCATAAATATCCAGGGTAGAACCTGATCCATTTCTCAATTCTGAAACTGGAAAGGGGTGGTCATCCAAGAGAATTGTCCAGCAAGCTGCATGATCCTTTGAGAGGAATTAGCTGGAATGTGGCCCTTGGGTCTCCCTAGGATTGGGCACGCTTCCAGGAACTCTACAAATTGTTCCCAGTAGTGGGTCTTAGGGCATAGAACTCAGTCATTCAGGACTTAACGCAGACACATTTTGTGTTGCTGTATACAGAAGAACAACCATCTAACCTTCTTTTAGGCTTATCTCAAATATGGGAGATCCTGAGAAGTGGATCATCATGAGCCTCACTTGGTCTCATGGCGGACCCCTCTGGCTAACAACAATGGTGTCATCTTCACTGCAGTTCTGTTGTTGTGCCCACAAAAGTCCAGCTGCTTCTAAGCCAGCACCATGACCTGATGACCTCAGATGAAGCCCCTCTACCAGACCACCCTGAACACCTGGGCAACCTGAGTGGGGAACCCTGCACATGTGAAATTTCCAAGGCCACATTGCAACAACATCTTGGGAGCATGCTGCTGGGCAAGAAGGGGTTCTTTAAAGCACCCTCAATCCTGTACGCTCAGGCTGGTAAGCCAGAGAAGATCTGGGAAACAACTGCCCCCCCCCACCCCCACCAGGACCCTGATGCACCAGCTCACCTGCATCCCAATGATGGCATAGATGAAGAAAAGCATGGCAATCAACAGGCAGACGTAGGGGAGGGCCTGCAAGGGAAGCAGAGATGTGACCATGAACTCAAAGGTAGGCAGCTCCAAGGCTCAATAACCTGCAGTCGCTGGCAGTACAGGAACTCTTGCCCTGAGGCTGCCTTAAACAGAGGGCTGGGACTCTCCATTCCCTGCGGCTGTTCTGTTTGGGGATGCCACTTCTGCAGATATTCACATCCTCTGAAAGATATGTAAGCTGTTGGTCACAGAGAGGCTTGTAATTTACCTTCTGTCGAGAATATTCACCCAGAAGTGTAGCCCAGATCTACAAGGAGAGCTGGGAAACTTCCTGGGCTTGGGATTCATCCCACTTTGCATGCAGAATATTAATAATCTGGGCAATTGTGATGCAAATTACATAGCCAGCATCTAGCCTTGGCTCCCAAATCCCTGTATTACCCCTTCCCACTCCCTCACTCAATGTGAAGCCCATAACAAAGAATCAGGAAGCAAAGTGAAATGGCTGGAGTTTTGGCTGTTTGTCAGTTCCTGGAAGGCTCCTTCATCCTCTGATGAAACATCTTTTTCCAATGTTTAAGCGTCCTGACGTTTCATTATGTGTTATGCAAAATTTCAGAGCCTTTTAACTGTTAGCCATCACAAATCCTGCCATAAAGCCATGTGGCCCCAAATTCCATACTGTGCGAGCTTACGGCCACTTTGGGATGATACCTTTTCAATTACGGGGATGAAGGGAGCAAGTGAAGGAGTTGTAAGGCAGGGAGCTGCCCTTGGTGGCTGGGAGAGGCTATAGACATAGGGCAGTTTGGTTTTGGGGCCACAGTGGGCACTATAATTCTGGGGTGATCTCAGTGCTGACATGGAAGTCTCTCTTCTTTACCATCCAGCAAGCTCCATGGAAGACAGTGCAACTATGAGTCTCCACTCTATCTTGAGTGCATACAGCACCAATCTCAGGAGATCAACTGAAGGCTTTCAGACTGCACGAGGAGGGCAGAGCTCATCAACAGAGCTAACTAAACCAAGAGCCCTGGGAGACTTTCACAACTTGAATAAAGGATAAAATTTAAATGCAACTGAAAGTTGGTGGGAGAATGCCCTCTCCAGTGAAGTGCGGATTCCCAAGATCTGTGATGAGGACTGGCTGCATTTTGAGGGGCCATGTGTAGACTCCCTCTGCTGAAAGGACAGAGTAGGGAGGCAGGTTTCTTGCCACTTGGGGGCTGCCACCTTCTATCGCCTTCCATGTTTACTTCCTGTGCTCCTTCTACCTTCTCCACTCCAACGTCTCCAGTCCCTAGTACATCTCTCCCCACCCCCAGCTTTGGAGAGAGGCACAAAGATTCATTCTTCTTATCATGTTATGAATTCTAGCTCAAAATAAGGGAAAAGAGGGAAGAGCTGAGTAGGGGTCAGTGGTGGAGAAGTAGGCGATGCTCAGGGCTAGGTGGGGGTGCGTACAGGCAATGGCAATGCTGTTTATATTGGGTAGCTCTCTGCTGTGTATTTGCAGAGATGGCCTTTGTTAAGCTGACTTTAAGAAAACAACTTCTATACTGTGTTCCAGAAAGGAAACACCTGTCCATCTCAGTGCCACCTGGAGGCAGATTCACCTGTTTTCATTGTTCTCTCTACATTCACTGGAATAAGCCAACCATTTGGCCATTAATTTTTGACATGCTTTTCTTTGCTCTTAATAGTATACAATTTTACAGAGAATTGGTGATCATGATAACATGAAAGGCTGACACATATTTCTTAAGAGACTCACCAACAACTGTAGCTTGTTGGGCAAGCCTCTAAAAAAAGGTTTTAAGAGCATCTTGTGTTCCAAATTCTAAATCCAAATTCACCTGAGATGTAGATGGTAAATTCTTGCTAAAGTTTTAGATTTCTCTTCTGCCATTTAGCTTTGGAAAAATAGTTTTCATTGAAGTAAGACCTCTGTGGGAGTTATCACACCAAACAAATACCCTGGATATGATAAAAACGTCAAGGTTGCTTGTAGGAGCCTACACATCCTTACAACTGGTCTCACATCTCAAACCCCCAGGTCCTTGATGGAGAAGTAGATCAGTCATGACGGTATGGGGTGAACTCCTTTCTCAAATGACCAGAAACCATGAATTCACTGGCTTGCCTTCTTTAGTTCAATTTGTAATTGAAATAGATAAATAATTAAAATGAAGGCAAATTCGGTGAATTCATGATTTCTCATCTTTGACTCAATCTTATCAAATTTATTTTTAAAACATATTCATTGAAAAACTCTTTTTTTATATATAAGAGGAAAATACTAGGCATTTGAATAGCACTTGGGCCTCAAAACCTTAAAAACAAACTAATTATGATATTTGCTGGAACCTGAAGATATTTAAACGTGTTTGGAAAACTTCTTTTACTGCACATCTTTGTCATTAAAGTGGGTGTCACGTATTGATTTTTAACTTACATTTATTACACATACACTTCTGTACCGCCCCATGAGACCAGTGAAAAGCAGCTCACCATATTAACCTTGCCCAGACATCTTACTTTGTAGGACACAGAGGTGACCACTAGCATGCCATACATTCAGTGGCTCAGGAAGTACACACTAATGAAGACATGAATGGGACTAGTACGAATCATCTTGCTATACAACACAGCTCAAGGAGTCCTTTGAAAAACCGTTATGTGAAATAAAGCCATAGATAAGCCCCTGAAAATGGAGAAGACATGTGACTACAGGCAGCTGGCTCTTTACATGGACGGGATTGCTCAGGGTCTTCTGGAAATCCTAGGGAGGGAGTACACCTCATCAAACAAGCCCCCTGCCTCAGGCAACCCAGAATACAACTGAGTTACAAAGGTGAGGTGTTTTTCTAGAATGAGATTCTACACAGTTAGATGTAAGCTGACCGCTGGCTGGCCGAGCTGTGCTGTAACTAATGCTTCTGACCAACACCCATTCCCGGAGGTGAAGGGACTTGTGTTGTGAGGCTATGTTGCCTGGCTGTGCTGTCTGATATGATAGGGCTGCCTCAAGCCTCAGAGAGGAGGAGTGGGTGCCTCTTACCTTAAAGGACTGCACGAAGGTCCAAAGCAAAATGCGGATGGTGTAGCCCTGACGCAGAAGCTTGATGAGGCGGGCGGCTCGGAAGAGCTTCAGAAAGCTCATATTGAAACCACTGGTGTTCACCAGCTGGTGGACCAAAGGAAACATATAATTAGTAATATTATGGTCATTTAGAAAAATCTAAGCACTAGTATTTGCGTATTTATGCCTCATTCAGATCATAAAATTGGACACGGATTCTGTCTATCATTTTTAACCCCATCTCCAGCTGATGGGCCAGTGAGGACAGCTCTCCAAGCTCACCAGGCCTGCCCTCTATTCCCAGGTAGAAGGGTATGGAAGTACCCCAGGAGGGTGCCATGCACATATTACATAAAACCGGCCTTCTTCGTCTTCTATAATTGGTCCTAACTCTGCACTTAGATGCCAAAGAACAGACCTAATAATGCCTCTAGCACGTGATGGCCCTCCAATATTTGAAGAGAGTTACAATGAGCTCTCCAAGTCTTCTTTAGGATGGACAATTTTAGGGAAATAATTCAGGTCTAATAACCTTGAGGGAAAAGATACTGAGCCTCTTTTGTATCTCCCAAAGACTCTAGCAGAACACTGTGCACGCTAGGCCTCTTCTGGCACCCTCTGTTTACCCCATTAGATGGCTGCTATTTGAGTCATGCAAAGGGAACAAAGCCTTCCATGAGATCCAGCACCACTCCAATGTTTGCATTCTCTGGCTAACGCTCAGGAGTGAGGAAGTGAACTCCCAACACTGAGAGAGCTACTCATTTGGTTTGAGGAGCTAAAAATGGACTCAATGTACAGAGCACTCTTTTAATGCTACTCCAGGGCCAAGCTTCAAGACAAGGATCTAGGAGCCATTCACCTTGCTGTCTGTCAGAATAATTTCTGTGATGCTGCCGATCACGGTGATGAAGTCAAAGATATTCCAGGTGTCTCGGAAATAGTTCTGCCAAGTGAATTCAGTCATGGGAGCATCAGAAAAAGGAGGAAGAGAAAACAAGAAAAAAACGGACAGAAGACATCTTTCATTACATAATTTTGTCACTTGGAATTAAAACTTGTCAATTCATGTACAAATTCATTCTAACTTTGGTTTCCTATTTCTAACCAGAAATGCTATTTCTCCTTAACTAATTTGGGAATTTCTCATTTGGGAAGCAGTTTCATCATTATTTGAAGACCCTGTTTTTGAAGCTGTCACTAAAAAGCTCATATGTAAGAAAGAGATTTGTGGCCAAGAATATTATAAAGTCCAGAAAAGAGAGATCATCATTGTCCCTTATAAGACAATAAAATTATATACAATATTATTCTATGGTTTTCTACAACTATAATTTTTAAATTATCTATCTCCTATCATGTGACCCTGTAAGTATACCATAAGTATACTATAAGATGACCTATAAGTATACAGTTCTGACTTTCAATCAACAGAAGTCACAGAGATGTCCTAAGTGACTAAAGATCACAGATGGGCCAAAAATCTCCTTCTAACTCCACTGAATGTTTTCAAACCAACCACTGATTAGCAATAGAATGAACAGACTTCACTTTTCCCCTCTTTTTCTGCTCTGGTACACCTCTCAAGGAGGTGTAACTAAATAAAACATAAGGAAGCAGTAATAAAATGAGTGAGTTGAAGGAGACAGAGGAGAAATAAAGGGACCCAGAAAATGCACCAACCAAATAACACTCTGCTTAATAGAGAGAGTAGAGTGCTCCCGTCTCCAGCGCTCAGGTGAACACAGACCTTGGATTATATTCCTTCAAAGAAACAGGACGCTTGGGTCTCCAAGAACTCACCCCCTTGCCTTGGGCAGCACCTACCATAAGAGACTCTCAGAACACGGCAGAAGTGCACCCTCTCCCATCCTCACAACGGGAATTAGTGAATCCTTACTATATGTGCCAGACACTGGGCCAGGTCCTTGGCATTCTTTCAGTTCATTTATTCCTCCCATGGATCGTATAGGAAGGTAGTGGTAAATACCCTATGTTTGTAAAATACTGAGTGGTAGGATTGGCAAGAGGAGTTGGGAGAGATATGCAATAGAGAGAGAAAAGGAACGTGGAGAGAGAGAAGCTACATTTAATGAGAACCTACCCAGGACTAGATGACTTGGGTACATTATCTAATCGGATACACACAACAAAGTACCTAAGGCTATAAGGTAGCTATCGTTATCTTCACTTATGAGTGAGAAAACTGAGGTTTAGAGAGTCCTGTCTGATTTCAAAGCCACAGGCACCTGCCAGGCATGTAGAGAAACTGAAGCACATAGCCTCACAAACTCACTTTCCATTGAGAATACCTACTCCTTCAGGAGTGGGGCCAAGACGAGTCTCTAAGTTCCTCAGTTCTCAGGGTCCTCCTGTTCCCAACCTGGGGTGAGCTTCCTAATTCTTGGATAGGCCCCCATATAGTAGAGAGCATGAATCTAGTTCTCAGAGGACAGAAGCCCTGGATTCCAGTTGAGGATGCTTTACAACACAGTATACTATAGAATAGCAGAGTGTAGTATAGACTAGTAGATTACGGTGGACAGACTGTGGGCTTCAAAGTTGGATAGACCAGGATCTGAACCCTGGCTCTGCCTTTTACTAACCTTGGGCAAGGTATTGAATCTTCCTGAGCCCTAGCTCACCCATAAAAGAAGAAAACTATAATGCTGATCTAATTGAGCTGTTATGAACCTAAAATGAATAATATATTAAGCATTTGGTTAATATGTTAATAGACAACCAATGTATGTTATTCTCTCCCTCTTTCTTTTTTCCTTCTTCCTTCCTGTCTTATTCCTATTCCACTTTCCAATTCTACGGGCTTTTATTGTGAAATCTTGACAAAGCTATGCAGTTATTCTAAACTTCAATTTCCTCATTTAAATCAACAACAATAATAATGATGATATCTGCCATGTCTATTGCACAGTCACTGAGAAGATATGACAAAATAGTATCCATAAGGGTATTCTGAAAACCTAGAGTATTATATCAATGTAAAGACTCATTTGGGACTAGTGGTACCTTTTATAGTGTGAAAATGCCTCTAGACCTTGAATGAAAACATGGCAGTGAGGGTGGGAAGGAGGCAGGCTTTGGGGCCAAATCATCTCGTTAAGCTTGTAAGTATGTATTCAGCATTCACCATAATTAGACACATAATTGAGGATTTGAGTCACAGACAATGTCAATACCACAAGCAAGTAATCAAGACGCATAGAAGAACTTCCCCTGTCGTGGCACCGGCCTCTCTCTCACCCTGCTCACCCCGCTCAGGGCTAGACTATATTATAAAGGCATCTTTGTTGGTGGTAGTTTCTTTCTACTTTTTTATTCCCCAAGTCTCAAAACACTCCAAAGGGAGTCAAGCAAACAACAACACAGCCACCTGCAATGGGTTCCCTTCAACTTTCCTCCCCAACCATCAAATTACTGACTTTTCAAAGAACCATTAGGAGACCAAAAGCAACCCCCGCAATCAACACTCACAATTATCAAGCCCAGAGTCCCTGTTAACCCTGCTACCAGACAAACCCTTATGCAGAAAAGCAAAGTTTCTCTTCTCGCAGGGAAAGCCATATACACATATAATTTGAAATGGTACCTCACACACGAAATGTGTGAAACAGCTGTCAAGTGGGTTTTATCTGCATCCCACTGATCTCATGGTAAATGCTGAAGCAAGGTGGGGGGTGGCAGAGAGGATTATTTTGTTTATAGGACACTGAAGCAAAGGGCTAGGTTTGCTTAACACTCCTGAGAACAGATGCAAGATTTTGCAAAACAATTATAATTAGTTGTGGAGAAGTAAAAAAAAAAAGGAGTCATGCCAGAAAAACTCATCCCAACCCTTCCCAAACCCAATTCCAGAATAACCCCCTCCTTTTCTCTCACCTATACGCACGCGCGTGCACACACACACTTTAATGGTCATTAGCCTTTGTAAGCTTAAGTAATAAACATTTATTTTTGTTGGCAGAAATGACTCTTCATGTAACTAATGGGAGGAGGACAGTTAAGTAAAATCTATTCTCTGCTATGTTTGAGGCTAAGAGGGACAGATATATTCCCACTTGAGTTATAAAATTTTATACCTTTTACCAGTAAATAAGCACACAAGGTTTATTAGTCCAATCCTTGTTTTGCTCCTTATCGACATAAAATTGCAGTTCTAGTAAGACCCAGTGACGGTCACCCCTTGATCGCTGACAGAGTCTGACAGGACCAGAACTGATGGCCACGTGAGCATGGAGCTGGGGACCTGGGTTCCTCTGCCCTTTCTCCTAACACCCTCACACATCATCTTGTTTCTACGGCCTATCAAGCAGTCTATAGGAGCCCACAATTAGGTGGGCAGGCGTGTGAACCATTTCTGGAATAGCTGTAAGCACCCTCCTTCCCACAAAGGCTGGGGATGCACCCAAAAGGAAGGGAAGAGAAGCGTGATGCTGACAGATTCCATGTCATACCAAGAAGCCAAATGCGATGATCTTTAGGACACATTCCAGGGAAAACACCATTGTGAAGGCGATATTCAGGTACTTCAGGGCCAGTTCATAGGTACAGGGAGCAGAGTAGTACTGCCAGGAAGAGAAAAGAGGAGAGAAAGAATCAAACCCTTAAGGTGAGAGGGGTATTCCGTGTCGCCGAGACTGGCCATCTCTCATCCCTGCCCTTGGGGGATGCTCTGGTGCATGGTGTAGGAGGACAGATGGACATTAAGTGCTGGAGAGGAGAACCACATATCCTACGTAGCAGAACAAAACAAAACAGAGGAAAACACAGACCATGCCCCACTGAGGCTACTTATTTGCAAAACAGCCAGTCTTCCTAGAGATAAAGGTGGGCAGGGCAGAAACATTTTCTAGAGTTAATTACTTTACCGTTTAGTGTTAAATGAGATCAAACCTCTTCCAGCACCCCTTTAGAACCTCTTGATCATCTATATCTCCCAACATTTCCACCTTGTCTGGATCTGACTGCCATCACCACCCTTGATCTTGGGAGCTACTGGACTGCTACTACAGGTTTCACTGCATTTTGCCCAAAAGACCCAGAGGCCTGGCTGTTGAATGAGACAAGATCAAAAAGAGATTCCACAATGGAAAAGTAGGTAAGGCGGCAACAGACTGGTAAGTTGGAGTGTTTCCCCAGTGTCTGGGGCTCACACCAAGGTTCGGCCCACCTGAGTGCCACCATCCTCTCACCTTCATCATCAGCACGACAGTGTTCAAGGCAATCATGGCCATGATGGTGTACTCAAAGGACGGGGACACCACGAAGTGCCAGACGCGGTACTGGAAGGTATGCCTGTTCTGTGGCATGTAGCGGGTGAGAGGTTTGGCACTGATGGCGAAGTCGATACACGCCCTCTGTGGGAAAGTCACGGTTATTAGCCCAAGCTCAAACTCCCTAAACCTTGCACATCAGTGGCTCTCTGTTAGATGGTTAGAAGAAGAGGACAGTGTATGAAAAAAACGGTAGGGCTGGACAGTAAGAAGTAAAAATGGCAACAGGGATTATCTGGACAAAACTACAAGTGAGACGTCACTTTAAATGAACACAGAACTGGAGGGGTTCTGTCACATGGGGTAAGGACTTAATGGTTATTAATAACGTCCTTTTTCACAGCCTGAGGCTGAGATGTTTAGGCAGGAAGCCTTACCTGATGCCCTTAGTCAGAAGTAAAAATCTATTTCCCTATGCACTCTCATAGCACTTCATTTGCATTTTTCTTATAGTCTCTAATAGTTTCTAGCTCAGTTCCCTTACAAAAATAATGAACCCTACAATGTGCCAGAACTATGCTTGATGCTAGAAAAGCAGTAACAAGCAAGCCATATTCCCAGTCCTTACAGCAAATACACACCACAGAGGGACACAGCCAGGTAAGCAGATGTCTTAATGTTATAATTTTGGCACACACCTTTTACCCCCATTTCTAGACTGTGCATGGCATAAAGGCAGGGGCTTCATCTTAAACCCCTTTCGTACCTTCCAGGTCTCTGTGCCTCATGCACAGGCCTTAAACAGAGCCAGTGCTCAAAAAATGTTTATTTAATGACTGCATAAATAATTTTTCCCACCTTCTTTCTATAATTCTTACTAAGGTTAAGAAAACTCAGTCTTCCTTCCTAACACCGTTGGTCTGAGAGTCCTTTCTGGAGCCCTTGCTCTAGACCACTTGTCTTTACCTCGTTCTTCTCCAGGCTGCACTCCTCCATCATCTTGTCGCCTTGCTCCTGGAAGGTGATGATGATGAGAGCCACAAAGATATTGACAAAGAAGAAAGGGAAGACCACAAAATAGACCACGTAAAAGATAGACATCTCCATGCGGTTGCTGCGGCTCGGGCCTCGATCTTCCTCAGTCACGTCCACAGAATGCTGCAAAACTCTGTGGGGACAGAATAAGGGGGCACGGATGGTGGATGGCAATCTTGGCAGCTGCTCTGACTCAAAGCTTCATTAGGAGATATGCCACCTATTATATTTCCTTAACTGACTTCCTTGTCTTTGCACATCCACTATTAATTTTGGGGGTCCACAATAACCCCCAAAATTGAAGACTGTAGAAGATTCAGTGACATACCAATCACTGCTCTTCCTAGCCCCTGTTCCATCATGCACCCAAATTCTAAGCACCAGAGTGACACTATTTTATAGCTTAGGTTGTCACATTCAATACTAAGAGACTCTTGGATTTCCATTTGGCATTTTGCTGCCAACTAGAGTACGCTGCCACCAGAAAGTGGTGACTTAGTAATTGCCAAGTCTCTGAAAAATCAGCCTTCAGCTATGGGCAGCATAAGAAATTGCATTCTGTTGTCTTCTTTAAAAGAGGTATGATAACAGAAAGTGTCTCGGGGTTCTGCCAGCTCATCCTTAACCCTCAATCCTCAGGTGCAGAGCCAATTTGGAGGATAAATCGGTTTAAAACGGCCCTCAGGACTCTCCTTAGGGGTGGAGAGCTGTTCAAAACTCATTTGTTCTACAGAGTCAGATGGCTCCACTCAATTCTTCAATAATTGGCTAAAACATTAAGAGTTTCAAATATTTCCCCGACTGTCATCTCCTTCTCAAGTTTTGCCTTAAGGCTTTTCATTCTTCCTCTCTTCTGCCTCTCTCACCCACTCATCACCACTTACTTTCCCTGGTACAATAACAAAGGGTTAGCCTTATTCATCTTGAATCAGTTTCTAAACGCAACCACATGGTCCTCTCCCAGCTCACAGACAAGCATTCCAACTCAAACTCATCACTCACTGAGGCCATCCTTCCCCCGTGGAGACAGTGAAGAGGGTTAGCAGGGCCCAGATAATGTTGTCATAGTGGAATTCATGGCGTTTCCATTCCCGGCCTTTCACCTCCATCTTGTTTTTCTCATGATCTACGTAGTTGCCTCTAAAATCGGAATAGAAATGAAATAGGGCCTCTTCACTATAGCTCATGGAAGAGTGAGGAAATCCTACGGATTTCAATAATGCAGCGTAGTAATGATCAGCATACAAATGCAAGGAAGAAGGAATTTTATTGAAGGCAGTGAATTATCGTGGAATAAAAATGAGATTTGGTTCCCAAAAGACATGGAAGATTAAATCCTAATCCTTTCACTCATTGCTGTGTGACCTTGAGCAATTTACTTAAACTTTCCAAGCCTTAGCTTCCACATCTATAATATGCAAAAAAAATCTATCTCAAAAGGTCATTATAAAGATTTAAAATTAAAAACTGGATGTAAAATGCCACGTACCATGTCTGACACAAAAGAGGTGCTCAATAAAAATTTAGCAACTTCCTATTTTGTCTTTTTCCTAAAAGAGGAATGGAGATAGGTAAGAGAGAAAGAGCAGACTTATCTATGGAGGGTCGAGTGGGCCCCATCGGAACACACCTTAGCGGAAAGCGAGCGGTATGTGCTGGTGGCACTTACATGCACTCCTTCTCTGTGTCCTTGGAACTGTCCGTGCAATAAAAGAACTTGCCCTTGAAAAGCTGAACTGCGATGACAGCAAAGATGAACATGAAGAGCTTGTAGACAATGAGTATGTTGAAGACATTTTTCAAGGAGGTCACCACACAGTCGAAGACAGCCTGTGGAGAGAAGTAAAGAGCCCTGGTGTACGAGCCCCTGGAACAGCCGGTGCATTTGCCTGGAGCAGAGTTGGGGCCACAGCACCACCAGGCAGCCCCACTGAGAAGGCGCCCCAGGAGATATCACCCTACTAAGAAGTGACACTCATGGGGTTCAGAGCTGTCTTCCAAGCTGGTCATGACTACAAGGACCAACCACCTGGGAAGGGAACACATGCCCTGAAAGTAAACCCAAAGCAGTAGAGACCAGATGGCATCAGGCAACGGAGGGAGCCCTTTGAGGAATCCTATCAGGCGTGCTCCACTTAGTGTGAAGCACAGAAATTTACTGCAGAAAGGGATCTCTGAAATCATGAAATAGCTTGGCCCTGACCTTACATCTATTTGGTGACATTCTTAGATTTGATTTATATACTGAATATGTATTGTTTTCTCTTTACCCTTCTAAGTGGACCAGAGAGTAATAATAAACTATCACCTTTGTCCATTTCAATGATAATTTGTAATAAGTTCATACAATCGTTCCAATTATATTCAACACTTCATGTAAATGTTCTCTAGCTTAAAGCTGGCTGCGTTGGGGCTGCAGATTCAAGAGGTGATGTGGGAAGGGACCAGCAGCTGCCCTCTTGTAGAGGTGGGAGGATGGGGTGGACAGCATCAGGGACTTGCATTTCGGTTAAAGGCAATGGATCTCCCTCTGGAGAATCCATTCTAGGCCCTAAGCCGTGAGGAGTTGCATGGGAGTTCGACACATTTCAAGCCATTTTTAGGTTATTTTTTAGGTTTTTAGGTTTAGCTCACTGGCGAGTCTAGCCCCATGGTGGCACCACGTTTGTGCAGTTCATTGTTCGCAGCACTGGTGAAGATCGCTGGTTTAATTAGTTCAGCACTGCGGGGAATGTGAGTGACATGCAGCCTTGTGGAATCATCACAGCCACCTACATTTCCCTCAGGTTACGGAGCTGCAGAGAGAGGAGCCAGCACATCCTAATTAAATGGAATTAACCGAGATTGTGGTCGCCTTCTCCAGCCTGTTAACTAATCTCATCATGCTGTCTGCACTCTCCTCAGGACCCCAACACAGCTCAGAGGAGATGACACCGCTGGAACCTGGGCGGCAGCTAACAGTAGTGGTTAGGACCCAGGCCTCTCAGCCAAATTTTGTTGGGGGTAGGGCAGAAAGGAATGAATATTTATGGGCACTGACCCAGGCCAGACCCTGTGCTGGGCCCATTACCAGGCAGGAGGGTGATAATGAACAGTGGGTGAAAGACTGCCTGACACTGTGGGAGGTGCCTCCTCTGGGAGGGAAGACAGGGCAGTGGAGGAGAGCAGGCAGGGAGGACACTTCCTTTGGAGCATGAGTACCTCTCCTGGGGAACCCACGCACATGGGCCAGGGCCCTGGGCTCTGAGAGGAAGCCACATCTTAGCCAGTTTGGGCTTTTCAGAAGTGACTTTCCTTCAGTCCCAAGCCTTTGATAAACACAATTGGTTTTGCCACCTCTGCAGAGCCAGAGGGCTGAAAGGGAAGCAGTGTCCTGAGGCCAGGGTGGGGCGATGATGGAGGGGTTGGTAGGGAATATCAATGTTACACGAAGCCAACGGGAAAGGAATTGGGAAGTGGGGGGGAGTCAAGGTCGTAGGATCCCTCCTCCAGCTTTGTGCTCTGTGGCTGGCTTGGAAGATCAGGCCCAGGCACACTAGAGGGATTGTTGGGTTTTCTTACAGGGACCACTTGTATCAGCTCATTTTGTCCACATCACAATGTCTGAGTTACAAAGTATCTCCATTTTCCAGTTCAAAGCAAGTCAAAGAATAAGTAATTTGCCCTGGGTCACATAGCTCCTAAGTCCCAGAGCTGAGCCTGGCACTCAAATGGGCTCCTTTCAATGTGGACAGGGCTTCTTAAGGCACATTCCAAGCCCTGCCCCTGAGTCTGGCTCTGTTGCTCTGGGTGGGAGCAACTGCAGAATCTGCATTTTAAGAAGCATCAGGTGACCCTGATACAGGTGGCCTGTGACCACTCTTTGAGGAGCACTGCACTGGTCTATGTGACTGCACAGGTGGATAATTCAATCTACTTCCTGGGAAGCATCTGGTGTAGTCCTTGAAGGCTGAGTTCAGGCCTGGTGTTGGGGCTCGCTCAGCTGGCCATGCAGCCTGGGCAGCAGCAGGAGGACTTCAGGGCTGTGAACCAGGAGCCCTGGTCCCCTCCTTGCTGGTAACTGGCTCTCATTCATAGGAATTCAGAGAGCAAGAACTTTTCTCCCATGAGGCTTCAACTCCTGTCACAGGAATGTGTGTGTGGGGGGGAGGCGGGGTCCACATGCTAGCAAACTTGAATGGTAAAGCACATCTGAGGGCAGGAAGGCTCAGGGAAGGAGCCCAGGGGGGTTGAGCAGGGCCGGCACTGGTCAGGGAGCAGGAAAACCACGATAATATACCTACGAAACTGCAGGTCCTAGCAACAGGAAGAACTTATTTCATGATAGCTCACTCCCATTTCTTCTCTGCTTCTGCCAAAAATGATCCTGTATTCTTGGGCAAGTTATGGACCTATCTGTGCCTCAAAAATATGAAGGGTCAGGGCTAGAAGATCCTTTCCTTCTCTAGAATTATGAGGAGAGAAACCATCCCAGGTTATTGGCCTGACCTAGTGTGCAGACCACAACACAGACTGATGGCCTGTGGAAGCACCAAATGCGTCCATTTTGGTGTTCTGGGTCCACCTAAATGACACAGGAGGCTCCAGGACAGAGCCACACAGGGCTCTTCCTGGATGACATGCCACAACCAGAGTGTATGAAATACCACCTGGGTCTAGACTCAAGAGGCAAAAGCCCCATTATAGATTTCTTGGGATGTTGGTTATTTTCCTCTGAAACTAAGACCCTTAGCTCAGGCAGATGAAAAAAACTTCAGTCCCCATGTGAGCAAAAGGAATATTCCCAGAAATAATTCTCCAAAAGCAGGCCACAGAGAGAGGATGGAAGGAAAAAGGAGACTTGATGGGGAGAAATTTGGCAAACATTACCTTGAGCTTGGGCAAGCGCTTGATGGTCTTCAGCGGCCTCAGGACTCGGAGCACCCGCAGAGACTTGATGGTCTTGATGTCCCGCCCCTTATTGGTTCTGGAGGGGAGAGGCCCCCAGGGAACCACAGGACAGGGGAGAAACAAAAGTGACATTCGCACTACTGCATTAACAACAACAGAGTAAAGGGGGCAGAGGTAGGCAAGCGGCCAGAAATTGGGTCAGAGTAGAGTCCTTCAGGGAGACCCCATAAAACATGCTCTGGGAAAATTTTCAAATCACTCCTGGTGTGCACACACTCATATGCACACCCACTCACGCACATACATACACACCAATGTATATCACACAGAGGAACACAGGCACGCATGCATACACACAGAGGCACCCATGCACATACATTAATAAACACCTCTCCCGCCGCCAATGCCAGAGTAATGCTGCTCATTACCACACTGGCAAACTAAAAATGGAAGATAAATCAACTAGGGAACATGACCGGTCACCCACTTTGGACTCTCACTGTGCCTAGTCTAGTGCTTCTCCAGTAGCAGGCTCTCAGATGATATTCGTTGAATTGAGAGCAAGTCTCATCAGTGGACTTGACCTAGCCCTTTCCTCAGCTCTAGGTTTGTCACCTCTGCACAGTTCATTAGTTCAGAGGAGAGCAGGGTGAGGAAGGGTGGTGGGGACATGACATCCTTGTTGTGCTGGGCTGCCTGTTCCAGAGAAAGCATGTCATGCCGGCTTCTTGCCAGAACGTTGGCTCACACACCAATTATCTCTGTGTGGCTGGCTCTTTCCGCCGTCCCTCCTAATTTCTGGCACTCTGCACCAACGCAAGCTGCAGAGAGCCATGCAGTTGGAGAAGACCCCAACCGCTGCCCCTGCCCACCTTCATCCTGGCCCTACAGCTAGTGACCCTCCCTGTGCAGCCTCTCGGGAATGTTTGCTCCCAAGAGATACAATACATTTCCCTCTTTATTGTTAGGAATGAAATGAATAAATCAACCTGTGTTTCTCTCTCCACCCTGCTCATTCCGAGATCTCTGCATTCAATTCAAACAATTGCAATTCGTAAAACACGCAGATGGTAGGAAATGAGACTCTAAACAGTGAGCGCAGACTCTGGTCCTTTCCTCATGTTGGCCCAGATTACCACTACACCAACAATCCGAGGAAACAGGATCCAGAACATCAGATGGGAATCACAAGGGCTTCCACCTGCTTTTTACCTGTCCTTCCTGTCTACCCACCCCCTAGGCACGGAGAGCAAGGTCCATCTATTCTTTCACACAAGGCAAGATAGGAAGACCTTTAATATAATTTGAGGAATGCTGACATTGCCTAGAATGTGAATTTTAAGACCCTTTTAATAGTTACAGGCCATGACCTACAAGTCACTTTTATTCAACCCTAGATTTGAATATAGATAATCCAAAAGTATTGCGTTGATATGGTCTTTTGCATCTATGGGCTTTGTTGATTTTATAAAGTCTTTTACAATATTAGGTTCATCGATCTACCTATCTAAAAAGGCAGCATATAAGCCAAATACATATCCAAACCAGAAAGAATGATTATTTCCCAAGAAGGCTTGGTGACTCCTAGTTTTTGTTCACTTAGATATCAGTGAAAACTCACCACTTAGATCAACTCACCACTCCGTTCTCAATGAGCCAGCTCCTTCCCTCCCAACCATACTTCTCCCTCCTCCAACCCACGCCCACCCTCTAGTTTTTACTTCAAAGAAAACTGAAGAAAATATTTACCCCAAAGCGTTCCTATGAAGGATCCAAGGCAGAAAGCAGTGGTGGGGGGGCGGGGCGGGAGAGGAGAGGGAGTGGAGAGAAAGAAAAGTCAGAAAACATCAGGGCAGAAAGAGAACCTCACAAGACAGGAAACTGGAGAAGCCCAGCCCCAAGGGATCCCACTTACAGCCTTGGCACTTGCAGAATCCACACGCTTTGTGAAAGGCAGGGCCAGCACGTCATTTGCTCCACACCCCCCTCTCCAACCTGCAAAGGCCCTTTGCAGGCAGCCGCGAAGCTGCATCTAACCTGATGACGTTCCCCATATTGTACTTTATTCCATGGAGCCTAGTCTAATTGAAGTTTTCTAAATGTAGGCTTTTCTTTCCATTTCCTTAGTAGTCTTCAGACAAACTCTGTCTGTTTCCAGTGAATTTACAGGAAACCAGGCTAGAGGAATTATGCCTGCTCTGGGCCAGAAACTATCCCTCAGAAAGGCGTCTCAAGTCACAGTGGCATATTTATGCTTATGAAGGATTTCATTTGAAGAGGGACACACAATCACTCTGAGACGGCTACTCTGACATCTCTCAAAAGCACAGATGATCAACACCATAAAACCACCTCGAATTATGAGGGATGCATTGTCAATCAAGGTCCTGATGTCACACAAAGGGATGCCTTTTGATAAATTAAATGACCAACTGTCCATCGTGAGCTATTTATAGTGCAGCTTGAAGAAAAATCATCCCACCCCTATTGGTGAGGCTTAACAATGACAACGAAAAAGGGCAAGGGAATAAACATAAAATATTTAAGATAGAAATAATGAGAGATAACTTTTTGAATATTTATTCTTGGACTCTGTGCTAAGCATTTTTAGTGCACCTCTTGATTTGGACCTCCTAATAACTTTAGGATGTAGGTATTACTATCCCCACTTTGCAGATAACATTCAGAGAGGTTAAGTGAGTGCCCAGCATTAGCAAGGTGAGCAGCGACTTGAACCCAAGCCTGTATGACGCTTGGAGCTCTTGCTCTGAGCCACTAAGCCTCTGCACCAGCAGGTTTTGGTTCCAGGTTCTGACAAACAGCTCACCAAATTCTAGAGCTGGAAAAGATCCCTGAAATCCATTTAGCTGCAAAGCAAACTGTGGGCCCAGGCCTGCATCTGATCACTCGGTGAGTGAGCCACAGTGCCTCGGGTGAACCGGCCTACTGCTATGAAGAAGTGCCTAGAATTCAGGCTTTGGTTCTTAGTTGCTGGTTGCTGTAAAGGTAGTCTTTTTCCTTTTATTTTCTTAAATGTTTTTCATGTACCACAAACCTATGTTATACCACCATATGCCATAAGCAGAGACTTCTAATGATCATTTTACTCAGTAAATGATCCAATATTCAAAATTATATTAATTTTCACTGTAAATGCCAAATGAATGGTGATTTGGGAATTAAACCCAAGGCTTATAAACTTTAAATCCCTTCTGTGATAATATCCAAACGTTCAGAGGGCAGAGATAATATCTTCCCCTGAGTTATAACGGCGTCTTCTCACGCATGAGCCTAGGCACGTGGTAGATCAGCCAAACATACCTTTATGCATTCATATAACAGCATTGATGGAGTCCTTGATATATGTCAGGTACTCTTCTAGGTGGTGGACACACAGTTGTGACCAAAACAAATGAAGTCCCTAACTTCTTAAAACTTACCTACTCTAGCAGGGAAGACAGGCCTCAAGTCAACAAGCAAACAAATGAAAGTATAATTGTAAGCTAAATGCCATGGGAAAAATGGAATCATTGGATTGAAAATTTTACCAAAACAACTACATAGGCCACCCTCTTTTCCTGAGGCTACATTCATCTTGAGGAAAAGCTAAGGGAGAATCTTCCATACCCTTAAAATGAGAGAACAGAGTAAGACCAATGGATGGGCAGGTGGTCCAGGGTCACACACTCCAGGCTTTCACATTTTGCTTAGCCTAGGTCCTTAACCCTGAGACCTTTATGTTCAGTAGCATCTGGATGGGTTCTCAGAGGTTCAAACTCATTGACACCCATCCTATGAAGGAAGGCTCGATAATTCTTGCCCCTCCCACACACCTGGATAAAGGACAGAATTTGCTGTCTACAATTAATTTTGCTCCTGAATCATAGCATAAAATATCATGCTATAGAACAAAGGGGATCTCTGACCATTGTGTGTGTGTGTGTGTGTGTGTATGTCCTTGTTTTGGAAAACGGGGTTCCTTGATGCTACACTCTGATCTTAACAGCCGATTGTAGCTGCTAACGTACTGTAGGGGGGTACTATTTGTCCCATTCGGACTCCCACAAATTTGGGCCAGGGAAAGTAATCAGACACAGGCCAAAAGTAAAATAAAGATTAGTCATTGCTCTGCACATCTTTCAAACAGGTCTCTTACTGCATAAGAGCCACTGAAAAGCTATGATTTTGAGTGGTTGCAGAAAAGCATGCTTGCATTCTCAGTTTTGTTAACATATGTTCAGCACTAATTTGAAAATTGCCATTGGAAATGAAAAGAATACTGGATAACAAAGCCACAGAGGCAGGAAAAGCCTCAACAATTTAGCCCCTATTAATTGAAATATGTCATAATTTACACACGGGCTAGGCCTAACTGTCTTTCCCAAATCCATCACACAAGAGTTATTTAAGCCATTATCAAAGTCAACAAGATCGCAAGGGAGATGTTTTATCAAACTAAGAGGATGAACTCTTCAAGCACTTTAATTGAGGCACATTGTTTTAGAAATAATTCATGTGCTTTTTACAAATCATTTAAATATAATCGTTTGATAACACTTTGCTAGTCTCTGCTACTAAATATATAAACAGATTTTTCTTTTACGTGGCAGAGATAATTAGTGAAATTTTACCAGGTTTTAAAATTGACTCTAACGTTGAAATTTGAGGATAATTTCACATGCTAGTACATACTGGCCCCACTTTAATTGGGACTCAATTGGGCCATCCATTTTCCCATCTATTTCCTATGTATTTGGTAAGTTCCTGACTGCTCTCCAGAAAAAAAAATGCCACGTTTCTCTTATGTCTCATCAGTAAAAGATGAGAATTTTCCAGCTCGATTGTCAAGTCGCCCTCTAGATCTTTCACATGCAATCACTCGTCATTCACTGCAACCTTGCACTTCAGCTTCCGGATCCCCCTTTTCTCAAAGCACATGCTCTCAAATTGATCTCTGCTAGGAAGTGACTCTCCTCCCATGGGGGGACAGGGCAGAGACATCAGGTTCTGAAGAGTCCTTCCTCCTATAAGTGGAATGTCCTTCTGCCCTCCCTCATGGGCCCGGGAGGGAACAGCATGGGGATGGGAAGGAATCTCTTGCGAGGGGAATGGACAGGCTTGCTGGAGCGTAAGGGGGGAGGTAAGGTCATACTGTGAGGAGCCCTGAGCTTTGCTAAAGCGTCTGGACTATTATTTGGTAGGCAATAAAAACGACCATTTATTATGTATTTACTAAGTGTTTGGCACTATATTGGACACTGAATATCTTTTACCTCCTTTAATTCTCACAAGACCGAAATATATTTATGTTTAATTGCCACTTATAGATGAGCAAGTCAAGTCTCAGAGAGTTAAGGCAGCTAATAATTAATAGTGCTGGGATTCAGACCTAAGCTTACCTAACTCTGAAACCTATGCTCTTATTTATGATGTTACAGTGCTTTTTCACATGGGAACCACTGGAGGGTTTTAACCAAAGAAGGAAACAGCGAAAGAAGCCAGCAGCTCCTGAACTCAAGCATTGAGGGATCTTTCCCAGTATCCTTAATCAGTCTAGGGTCTGCGACGGTTCATGGGAGGAAAAGGGTACAGATGGAACAGCAAGATGGACAAGGTAGGAATGCCTTCTCTATCTGGCCCCCAGGGCCTGTCTGTCCCTAGGCAGAGACAGAAGGATCTGTAGGCTGAGGAGAGATCCATACCAAGCTACATGGGTTTGAGTTTACATGGGTTAACGGCTTGGAACTAACTAGAACATCAAAGATAGAAGAAAGCTTAATGTGATAGAGAAAGCCCTGAACTAGAAATCAAAAATACCAGTTGTTTAAGAACCGGCTTTGCTACTTACTAGTCAAATGAGTTAAACTAGTCAAACTTCAGACAACCCATTTCTCAACGATAGAACAGGACTGTCGAGTGATAAATTAAGTAAAGAGTGTGAAAGCACTTTAAAAATTCTAAAGACCAATGGAAATGAGAAGGAAGTTTCCCCCTTTGCCTTGGCAATCCTTGTCTCTGGAGAGAGAACTCTCTAGGACCTGGAGGTAAGGCTAGTTCATCTGTTTGTGTGAAGAACCTAAATTCAGCACTTTGACCTCGTCACTGCTTAGCTGCTGCCATTTGGGGATTATTTTCCTCCTGACCCATACCTCAGCATCTCTTGGGGTCACCTATGAGCCCTAAATCCTTTGCGACTCTGCCGTCTTTCTTTGCCTGTGACCAAAGCACTAGCTCTCTGCTAAGTGGTTAGTGCAGAATCCTTTCCTTCTTGCACATGGACCTCAACCCGCTCCCTGGACACACTCATCATTGCCTTTGCAAACTTTCTCCTTTGCAAAATACAGCACTATACTCTAATTGGAAGGTATTTTTGTCCAAGTACTGAGAAGCAGCAGGCGACAGCAAAGCATCTAAGTGTCTCCTAGCAGTGTTGTTATTCAATCTGGTGAACAGTGACCTGATTTGTCTTGCTTCTTAGTCCTCATATTCTAAACATACCCAAAGACCCCTCATCTGCTGATCTTTCTAAGAAGGCCTCGGCGCCTGCTGAAGTCCAGCCAATACACTCCCCCAGCTGGAGACTAATTCATAATGCTAGGCTGTGCCTCTGTGAGTATGGATTAAGCAGATGGCTGGCAAGTCACATGATCTGAGCTGATACTTCCCAAGTCCCATCATGAAATCTTCTGACCTGAATTACTCTAAAGCCTAATTTTAAACCTGGAGGGCACTGTGATGGGTTTCTACTAATCCTGCAGGAC